GAGACAGTGTTTTTGTTATGAAGCCGGGTAACACAAAAGTTTCCCATATTTTTGTACGGCTTGAAAATACACTGCACAACTCGTCCCCCAAGAAAACCCTGAATTTTACGAGTTATAGATTTGATATTTTATCTCTAAAGGATCCCTATCAACTTCCGATGCCGCTCATGATATTCACAAAGTATCCAAAATGTGCTCCACGTTGTCGAATTCTACTTTTTACCCAAGTAACATTTTGAATTAAGAAGTTTTACTTGTAATGTTTTTTTTTTTAATGTGTTATTATTAGGGCTGTCAAACGATTAAAATGTTTAATCAGATTAATCACAGCTTAAAAATGAATTAATCATGATTAATCACCATTCGAACTATGTCCAAAATATGCCATTTCTTTATGTATATTGTTGTGGGAATGGAAAGATGAATGAAAGAAGGCGGATATATCCATTTAACATACAGTAGCCTGTGTATGTATGTTTATTATAACATTGTTCTGTGTGTCAAAATGAAAGTCGGCCCACACACCTATCAATCATCAAACCGTGGGGTCTTATTTCATTACGTGTTGATTTCTATCAACACAGGGGGGGGGGGGGGTGATCTAACCGCCTTCTGGAAAAGTTTCACAAGTACGTCGGTACGCAAATGCGCTTTGTGACACAAGAGACGGTACGCATTTCAGATTGTTGCCGCGCATGCGTACCAGTTATGTGCACCTACTACAGCAAAAGTATTCTCCGTCGGGACTTCCTGCAACAACACCACGCCGTTATCTTGATTCTGATTGGCCAGAAGACATTATCAAAGATGTTCTATTGAGAAGACGATCACTATGTGACAAAAGTTTTCAAAACCGTGACTACTGAAATCAATCTTACTAACTGCTGTCTGTGCAATTTACTCCGCGCGAGTTGGCAGACTTTATTTTGCTTACTTTAACATCATTTTTCATGGTGGGGCTAAGCCATTTCTTGGTATGGGTGTAGCCTACCCCAGCTATACCCTGGCGCTGCCACTGGTGGCACGTATGGGGCGGGCCATTCTGCACATGCGTTAAATGCGTTAAATATTTTAACGCAATTAATTAAAAAAATTAATTACCGCCGTTAACGCGATAATTTTGACAGCATTAGTTATTAGTACTTTAACTGAGGTAAAGGATCTTCTCCCGTCACTCCTGACTTGCTGCTAAGTTTGAAATATTTGAAAACAAAACTCAATCCCGCTTTCAAATAAATAAAAGCGTGACTTACTGCCGGTTTCTTTAGCATGCTGGTTGGTGGCTCCTGAGGCTTCTTCTTCTTGTCCTTCTTTTTATCCTTGTCGCCAAACGTGCCTCTCGCCTTGGCGATGACCTCTGAGTCGGTCTTTGCGTACTGTATCCTCTGGAAAACAAAATAAATCCAGTCAATAAAGCCCAGAGCCCTTTCAGAGCGGGGAAACATGTCAAGGGTTCTGATGTCTTATACATTCTTGCAGCTGTTGTAGCAACATGCACTCAACGTTGTTAGGTTTCATTAAAGGTCCCCTGTTATACTGTTTTTCATCAATATATTACAGGTCTCAGATATATACAAAACATCTGTCTGAAGTGTTTGGCTCCAAACACCAAACAGATCATTGCAGCTTTACCCATAATCCCCTCTGTTTCAGCCCTGTTTCCAAAGTGCTGATTCTCTGTCTGTTACTTTAGATGAAAATAAGGAGCCCCTCCCCACGCCCCTCTGAGAGACATTTGGTTACAAAGAACACAATGGTGCTCTAGGAGGAGATTCAGGTGATAAGGGGGGGGTGGGGGGGGGGTTACCTTGGTTGCTGATTGGCTAATGGCTACACAAGCCAAAACATCGTTATGACATCACAAAGTGGCCAAAATCTGATCAGCTCATTTTCAGACAGGTTTTTATAGAAATGGATCAGGACAAAAAGAGAGAGAATCTTTGTTCCTGAAACTTTCAGAGTCTCTTTACACAGAGGGGGGGGGGGGGGGACATGTTTTGGATTTTGCATCAAGAACCATGATAAAGTTGTCTGATCACATATGAAAACATGACTAAATGCAGTCAGAGTATCACTTAAAGAGAGAGAAAACTGGCCATCAGGCAATGTGTGTGAGGACACGGCAAACACAGCATCATTATTCCTACCATGGGTTTGTTGTAGAAGGGGAAGCCCTGAAGTTGCCTCAGTGCGTTGGTGGCGGCGGCAAGCTCTTTGAAGACGACGAAGGCCTGACCCCTCATCTTCATGGTCTTCATCGCCACGATATCGACGATCTGACCGAACTGAGAGAAGAGCGCGTAGAGCGACCGCTGCATCTCTAAAGGAGGAAGAGGAGAAGAGACAGAGTTTCACACAAAGGCTCATGTGTGATTGCAACAACACAACCATTACATGAGTTTAGTTTTCATAGTCTAGAGACAAAGCTTTAGTGACAATGTCCAGACTTCTTTGCATGGTAGATACTTTCATCAAACTCATCATAGATTTTGTAAGTATATATGACACCGAAAAGTAACAAGGAACTTTAGGTTCAAAGTGTCAAAGCACTTCTTTGAGTTTGGTTTTATGTTTCTTTACAGGTTATTATGAATTCACATTTTAAGCCATAAAGTGAGAATTTGCAGTAACTTACCTTCTTTCTTGACTTTATCATTTATATTGTTGATGTAAATCGTGTGGTTTGGTCGGATATCCATGGTGGTGTCTGACAAAACAGCAGGAGAGGATGTTAAAGTCTGCACATCCATATCTGAAGCCTAAAAAGCCTAGTCATTTTTGTCTAGGATATTAAAATCTGCACACTCAGTTTCTATCAGATTTCTTCTGTTCTTATTGAAGGGTTGCTCAGGGGCGTTTGTGTTTTCTGTCCTTTACATTGTCAGTCTGGTTGAACAGTTGTACAGTGTCTTGTTCTCCATGTATAAATAATAATAAATAATAGATTTCATTTGTTCGCGCTTTTACAGGTGCTCAGAGACGCTTTACAGATATAGTGAAGAGAAAAGAAAAGGAACAACAAATAAATATATAGTTAAAGTCAAATAATACAAAAACAATCACATTAAAAGCCAGATTGAAGAGGTGAGAAACCAAAACCATCATACAATTAAAATCAATTTTTAATATGATTTTCTACAACCCAACATCGTGAAAACCATACGAACATAAGGTAGTCCTCTTAAACATCTGATTGTACCAAAATCATCTGTAGTTGCAGAATACTACACACTTAATGAAACTGTCACCACCAATGCTAATGACATATAAAACATGTCCAGAAAGTCTTAATAAACATGTGTTATCCTACAAATCACAAATAAGGAGCTGCTGACAGAAGCTATAATGCACAACTATCAAAGGTATTGTTTAATTTCCATTTCCAAGAGACTTTAACGTTTTAAATCAGGCCATCTGCGTAGCTGAAGCTAATATTAGCATACGTTAGCTCAACGCAAGCTACATCCATTCATAAGGGAAGGCTAGCAGCAGTTAGCTATGTGTTCAGCTAGCTGACCAGTGTGATCACCGATACAAACATAATCCATAGACAAGTATTAACTGGATAGGGGATCTGGTCAAATGTAGAAACAGATATGAATAAAGGAAAGATGTGTAAATATTAAACTCACCTCCTCACCACACTGCTCACATGTAACAGGAAGCTGCTGCTCGCGCCGATAACAGAGAGCGCTGGTTTAACCTGATTTAACATGTAGTGCCCCCTCAGGCCGGGAGGAGAACTACAGGCAGCATTTATAACGTTTCACATGATGATCATTCATAAATGTGTGGGTAAATACATTGTAGTAAATGGAGAGGAGTCTAGCCCTCATTTCCCTGTTTCATAAATTATTTCAAGTCCTTTGTCCCTTAGAAAAATACAATTTTGTAACCGGTCGATAAAGATTTACAATGACATTTCCAAATGGTTATTATTTTAAGTAAGCTTAATGCCTCTTAAATGTATTTTTCTTTCCCCTGGTTCTTATTGGATGTATTATTTATGTTTTTTGTCTTATTGTGAATGAATGCCATTGTAATGTCCTTTTTTCTTTGCACTTGTGTTGATAACTTGATGATATCCTAACCAAGCTTTTGTAAGTTCTAAATATGTTAAATACAAAAAATCCTAAATGTGATATTTCCTGCCATAGAATCTCGACGAGAAATATGCTTGTGAAAAACAGTTCAGTAAGAATAGAAGAAATCAGTGTTAATTGATAGCAAAAAAGTGTTTGCCTATTTAAATAGGAACAGTCACCTTGAAAAAAAGATTTGTAATTTTTTCGAGATACCAATACATTATTCAAGAAAGCTTATCACTATAATAACTTCTGACATCTTTAGTATCAAAAGGCTATGTTTTCAAATTGTTTTGAGAATGGGCTTCCAGTGGTTTTAAGAAACTAAGTACGCCTATTACTCGAGTACTCTTAAGTACAGTTTTGAGGTAGGTATTTTTGCCACTTTCCATTACTATTTAGAGGTAAATGTTGTATTTTTACCCCACTACATAGGTGTAGTTTGCAGATATAGATGAATGACAAACAATATAATCAACACTTTAACAAGACTGTAGTTATATCTGGATTAAATTCACATTTTTCCCAGCAGTAGATAAAGTAATTAAAACTAGCTGCAACTTTACCAGCTTTGATATATGAGTACATCAATAATTGAGTACATCAATAATTATAATGAAAACATTTATATAGATTATTCTTAAATGGGTCAATCTGCACAATGACTACTTTTGCTTTGGTAGTATATTTTGATGCTCATACTTATGTAATTCTACTTGAGTAACATTTTTAATGCAGGACTTTTAATTGAGATAGAATATTCCTACACTCTGGTACTTCTACTTTTACTTAAGTACAATATTTGAGTACTTCTTCCACCTCAATTCTGAAAGGTTTGTCATGTTCTTAACATTTGATCAAACTTCCAGCTGTGTTTTTGTCCTCTCCCGGCTTCCGTACAGATGTTGTGTTTTCATCAGCTGATGCTTGCCCGTTACTCCGCTGCTTTTTGTAACAAGCTAAACTAACAGTGACCATGGATGTGAGCCCGGTTCACACGGGGACGGTGTAGCAGTGTCACCGGACAACTATAACACCTGTCCACGGTGGCTTCCCTCTTCTCCTCACCAATATCTGTGTAATTTCTACATTGTCTGTGCAGTCAGCCGGTTATCTTTGCGACTTTTGCCCTCTTTATCCCGCTGAGGCTCATGCTAGTGGGTTAGCCTGCTAGCTAATTAGCTCGAAGCTTTGCATTGTGAGGCTAACTAACAATCTGGATTTAACGGACATGAGAGATGGCATCTGTTCGGGTGGCTGTCCGGGTGAGACCCATGAACAGGAGGTGAGTTAAGGACAATAATAACGTTATTTAACATCATATGTCATGTTTCTGAAGATAAAATGGCATAATATCGTTATTTGTGTTATGCTAACTGACAGATGTAGCCGTTGGGAGAATGTAACTGGCATGAATGGACTCAGGAATTCAATTTCACTACGTTTTTAAAGGTTGTTATAATAGTGAAGCTATTGTTATTTAACCTTAAGTCCTTAAGATTCAGATTTTCACCAGGTCTTTATTCAGTGATTTAAACAAAGGTTGAGAGCATATTTACTCCTGCTTGTCCATGGGAGGCAGAGCAGGTGCAGCTGTGTGATTATTATCAGAATCAGAATAGCTTTTTGAGTCCCAGAGAGGGAAATAGTAAGAGCAAAGAGATAGTACTTGTAGATACAAAATATACTATATTTTTAACGTAGAAAGTAATGAAGTAGCTGCAGAATGATGCGGGTGCAGATCCTCTTCTTCAAGTACTAATACCAAACTGAATAGTATAACATCTGCCTTCAAAGCCTTACTTAAGTAAAAGTGTATCACCAGGGAAATGTGCTTAAAGTATACAAATTCAAATGTTTTCTGTCAGTGTCGAACCATGATATATTATGTTTTTGGATTAATATTACTGCAGCATTGAAGTATATGTTGCATTTCACTGCTATAGATGTTTATTGTTGTAACAATTTAAGCTTCTGAATATGCTGTTGGGTACTTTCATCTACAGCAATGCATTCTAATCTAAAATATCATCATATGTTTGTGTTGCTGTCCTGTCACGTCGATGTGTTTCTATAAGAAGTCTCAGACAAACAGCCCTAGTTCGTTTAGCTTAAGAAGTAGGAACATTTTATCATCCCGAATTCACGGTATTTGACCCATTAAGCTACACAAATGATTGTGTATTTAAATGCATCCACATTTCAAACAATACAGAAAAAGACTGCCCAACATATCGGTGTGAGAAAACGATGTTTAATACTCTGGTCTGAGTTAACCTCCATTATAATGAGAGCTAACAGTGTTGCGTAATGTGTTCAGTTATTGTGTCACTCTCTTAAGATAACAGACAGGTTGCTTCATTAGCTGCTACTGCTGTCTAAACTTACAGAAGTCTAATGTTCAAACTCTTTTAAACCGAAAGTGAGGACTTGAAATGTGTTTCTGCTTCAATATAAAGGACGTTGTTGAGCCTGAGGACAAACCAGGGTGGAGACAGAAGTGTATACATGACTAAACCAACATGTCGCCCTGCTGATACAATTCATGTTTAGTCATGTGGATTGAATTGATGTTGTTAACCTAGTTTGTCTGTGAACATTAGACTACACAACATCTGGGACTGTGAGACTGTGAGAAGTACATTTTAAATGGCGGTTAAGAGACAGGGAAACATCCATTTATTGGAGAAAAGAAATGTGAACGGTATGTTTTTAACAGTTGATTACCCTGAACTTTATTTATAATTCAACTGAAAAACCACCAAAAAAAAGTAATAATAAAAAAGTAATCGTTTTATTTTGATTACGTTGTTTTCGTTATCGTTGCAAGCCATAATCGTAATCGCGATTTAAAATACGATTAATTGAGCAGCCCTAGTATAAAATAATTACAGGACATGTACTGCTGCCCTTACAGTTTGGAAAAAGGTTTTATTAGCTGTTAAGCTAAGACTTATTGATGTACTTTAACTAGAGCTGCTCAATTAATCGTATTTTAATCACAATTACGATTTTGGCTTGCAACGATTATGAAAACAACATAATCGAAATAAAACGATTATTTTAATTTAATTAAAACGTTTTTTTATTGGTTTTTCAGTTGAATTATACTTAAAGTTCAGGTTAATCAACTGTTAAAAACATACTGTTCACATTTATTTTTCAATAAATGGATGTTTTCAAAGTAAATGGATAATCGTTTTTAATAATCGTGATATCAATTATTGAACCAAATAATCGAGATTATGATTTTTGCCATAATCGAGCAGCCCTAACTTTAACACATAAAATAAAGAAGTATAGACATAAACGTAGATTTGTTTTATACTATGTTTCTGTGAGTGACGAAGATTTTCACAATTGGCATAACTTGTGTATTTTATATGTACGATTCAAATATTATGAAGTCGCTTTCACGGTATTATTTATAACAGGAAATTAAGGAAATAAAGATGTCGCTGAAATCAAAGACACATTTGATATATAACTATATCAAATTGAACAAGTATAAACATATAAATAATTTACTTATAGAAATATGTATCTTATAATATGCATTTCAATTGTCATCAAATTAGACTGTCCGTTTTTTGTATTTTTGGAGTAAGGAAGACAGGAAGTTTAATATCAAAGTGTAATCGAGATCATTTAAGATGTAATGATGATGATTACAATGATATTGAAACAATGCAACAACACATTCAACAACAACCTCTCAGAATCAGAAATATCTTACTTTGAGATACTTTTCAAAGAAAGACAAAAAAACAACATACGATCAAATGTTTTCCAAAAGATGCTGTGAATGCTGACGCGATGAATTTGGAAATAATAATAATCTCCCCTGTGTTTATATCATAAAATAAGCAATGTTTTTATTTGATATTTTGCGGCTACATCACTGACATTGTTCTTTTACAGGGAAAAGGACTTGACCGCAAAATGCATTATCAAGATGGAAGGGAACAAAACCTCCATCACCAACCTGAAGGTACTTTTTAATGTATTTATTTAATTGAATTGCTTCTGTGTCTTAAAATATGCTATACAAATAAACTAACCTTGAACCTTAACCAACACAAGAATACGCTGTTAAAACAGGAAGTTATTTAGGCTGAAAATGATCCTAACACATTTTAGCTGAAGCTGCGTTTTTATTTAAACATTTCTTGTTCTCCAAAGATCCCCGATGGTACCGCTGGTGAAGTGTTGCGGGATCGAATTAAAACCTTCACATACGACTTCTCCTACGACTCCATGGACTCTAAGAGCTCCCCATTCGTCTCCCAGGAAAAGGTAAATACTAATACCCACAGCTTTTTATTTTATATTTTGTATAAATATGTCCTGCTGTGTTTATAAACCTGTAAATGTACGGCATGAAATCGAAACATAGATGGTACTTCTGACATAAAACACTTATCCCATTACTAAATATCCTATCTTACGGTATGTGGTAATAAAGCTGGAAGTAAAAGTACGGCCTATAATAACATGTATAATATCTAATACCAGAGGTGGGAAGTAGTGGAGTACAAATACTTTGTTACTGTACTTAAGTACATTTTTCTGGTATCAGTACTTTACTCCACTACTTATTTTTCTGACTACTTTTTACTTTGACGTCTTACATGTTGAACTCAAATACCTGTACTTTCTATTTCTTACATGTTGAACTCAAATACCTGTACTTTCTACTTCTCACATGTTGAACTCAAATACCTGTACTTTCTACTTCTTACATGTTGAACTCAAATACCTGTACTTTCTACTTCTTACATGTTGAACACAAATACCTGTACTTTCTACTTCTCACATGTTGAACTCAAATACCTGTACTTTCTACTTCTCACATGTTGAACTCAAATACCTGTACTTTCTACTTCTTACATGTTGAACTCAAATACCTGTACTTTCTACTTCTCACATGTTGAACTCAAATACCTGTACTTTCTACTTCTTACATGTTGAACACAAATACCTGTACTTTCTACTTCTTACATGTTGAACTCAAATACCTGTACTTTCTACTTCTTACATGTTGAACTCAAATACCTGTACTTTCTACTTCTCACATGTTGAACTCAAATACCTGTACTTTCTACTTCTTACATGTTGAACTCAAATACCTGTACTTTCTACTTCTTACATGTTGAACTCAAATACCTGTACTTTCTACTTCTTACATGTTGAACACAAATACCTGTACTTTCTACTTCTTACATGTTGAACTCAAATACCTGTACTTTCTACTTCTTACATGTTGAACACAAATACCTGTACTTTCTACTTCTTACATGTTGAACACAAATACCTGTACTTTCTACTTCTTACATGTTGAACACAAATACCTGTACTTTCTACTTCTTACATGTTGAACTCAATACCTGTACTTTCTACTTCTTACATCTTGAACTCAAATACCTGTACTTTCTACTTCTTACATGTTGAACTCAAATACCTGTACTTTCTACTTCTTACATCTTGAACTCAAATACCTGTACTTTCTACTTCTTACATGTTGAACCCAAATACCTGTACTTTCTACTTCATACATGTTGAACCCAAATACCTGTACTTTCTACTTCTTACATGTTGAACACAAATACCTGTACTTTCTACTTCTTACATGTTGAACACAAATATCTGTACTTTCTACTTCTTACATGTTGAACACAAATACCTGTACTTTCTACTTCTTACCTGTTGAACACAAATACCTGTACTTTCTACTTCTTACATGTTGAACACAAATACCTGTACTTTCTACTTCTTACATGTTGAACCCAAATACCTGTACTTTCTACTTCTTACATGTTGAACCCAAATACCTGTACTTTCTACTTCTTACATGTTGAACCCAAATATCTGTACTTTCTACTTCTTACATGTTGAACTCAAATACCTGTACTTTCTACTTCTTACATGTTGAACTCAAATACCTGTACTTTCTACTTCTCACATGTTGAACTCAAATACCTGTACTTTCTACTTCTTACATGTTGAACACAAATACCTGTACTTTCTACTTCTTACATGTTGAACTCAAATACCTGTACTTTCTACTTCTCACATGTTGAACTCAAATACCTGTACTTTCTACTTCTTACATGTTGAACTCAAATACCTGTACTTTCTACTTCTTACATGTTGAACACAAATACCTGTACTTTCTACTTCTTACATGTTGAACACAAATACCTGTACTTTCTACTTCTTACATGTTGAACACAAATACCTGTACTTTCTACTTCTTACATGTTGAACTCAAATACCTGTACTTTCTACTTCTTACATCTTGAACTCAAATACCTGTACTTTCTACTTCTTACATGTTGAACTCAAATACCTGTACTTTCTACTTCTTACATCTTGAACTCAAATACCTGTACTTTCTACTTCTTACATGTTGAACCCAAATACCTGTACTTTCTACTTCATACATGTTGAACCCAAATACCTGTACTTTCTACTTCTTACATGTTGAACACAAATACCTGTACTTTCTACTTCTTACATGTTGAACACAAATATCTGTACTTTCTACTTCTTACATGTTGAACACAAATACCTGTACTTTCTACTTCTTACCTGTTGAACACAAATACCTGTACTTTCTACTTCTTACATGTTGAACACAAATACCTGTACTTCTACTTCTTACATGTTGAACCCAAATACCTGTACTTTCTACTTCTTACATGTTGAACCCAAATACCTGTACTTTCTACTTCTTACATGTTGAACCCAAATATCTGTACTTTCTACTTCTTACATGTTGAACTCAAATACCTGTACTTTCTACTTCTTACATGTTGAACTCAAATACCTGAACTTTCTACTTCTCACATGTTGAACTCAAATACCTGTACTTTCTACTTCTTACATGTTGAACTCAAATACCTGTACTTTCTACTTCTTACATGTTGAACACAAATACCTGTACTTTCTACTTCTCTCATTTTCCAAACAGCTGGTTCCTTTAGTCTGAATGTATGTTTGATGCGTGATCATTATTCTTCAGAGTCATTGCGTGCCTATTGATTTGAACACGATCCGTGTATCCATCATTTCCTGGTCTTCTCTAAAGAAGAGGGACCAATGGAAACGTTGTCATGTTGCCGTTGTTCAGCATGGAAACATTCATTAGCTAACAATGACATTATAGTTCTATTAATATAAAGGGAGGTCAGGTACTCTTTAAAACATCTGCTAGTTATGGGTACTTTTTACTGAAGTACATTTCAAAGCCCTTACTTATTTACTTTTACTTGAGTAAAGACGTTTAGTCAGTACTTCTACTTTTACCAGAGTATTTTTAAACACAAGTATCTGTGCTTCTACTTGAGTAAAGGATGTGTGGACTTTTGCCCTCTGTCTAATACAGCTTGACAAACCTTGTCTTTTTGGATTATTTTCAGTAGCAAAGTCGGACATGTCCCTTTACAGCTCTGCAGCATCAGTAATGCGTCTGAAACCTGTTATATCATCTCACGCACCAGTTAGCTTGGCGACAGAAGCCTTAAAGAGCTCTAAGCAGAAATAAAAACTCACATTTTCTCCACAGGTGTTCAAAGATCTGGGCTCTGACGTGCTGAGGGCGGCATTTGAAGGATACAACGCCTGCGTGTTCGCCTACGGTCAGACCGGCTCGGGGAAGTCTTACACCATGATGGGAAATCCTGTGAGTTGCTTTTTACAGCGTTTTAAATATATATTCGTTCTCCTCACCACTCAAAACAGTGGGATTACTATTTATGTGCCTTTGGTTAACAGTAACTTCTGTCATAGCAACTTAAAATCAGCTGCTGTCTAGAGAAAATGATGAGTTAGGCAAATATGCAAAGAAACACAATATCGATATAAAGTCTTTTAAGATCTTCGTTTAATGCTTGCAAGCATGACGACTCGTTCAGAGTGCGTCCTGCTCTGTGTGTGACAGCAACTCTTATAGGGACACAGCAAAGATCATTTACATGACAACACAACAACATGTGGTCCAGGTGCTCGCCCTATGACAGTAGGCAAAACTCACACCCTACAAAGAACAATTGGGTGTCACAGCTAACCCCCTAGAGCACATGTCTTCCTTACCTTCCTGTAGTGTCATAAAACCCTTTGTGAACACATCTGTTACTACACATACATTTACATGCCATTCCCAAGATACAGCAGTTACATTTCATTAGGATTACACTGTATTAAGCTTTAATACCATAATTGCCATAACACTTCGCACACCTGTTGTCATTATAATGGCTGTAAAGAACCATGTTGTGTACAAGGAGGCGCTTTATAAATACAATGTATTATTATTATTCAATACAGTTTTGATCAACGACTTAAATACACTATTGTTGCATGTATAGGGGCGTGTGGCGCAGTGGGTTAGTGTGTTGGTGTTGGGATCAGGGGGGCACAGGTTCAAACCCCACTGCAGTCAGCATGTCGTTGTGTCCCTGGGCAAGACACCTCACCCCAAATTGTTCCTGTGGGGATTGCCCACGGTATTGAGTATGTAAGTCTAACAAGTAACATGTAATGTAATGTAAACTCAGATCAGAAACAGATGTTTGTGGTGATGGAAGATAGTAAGAAGGAATTAAAGACGCATGTCTGATAAATACTGTCAACATGTTTATCCTCCTCACGGTGGAAAATGGGGTTTAGGAGATTTTGCAGAAACTAAATCTCACATTTATTTGAATCGATGTTTCCAAATGTCTCTGGCATCAACACTGGTTTTCAGCCTCTAGTTGTTTGGCTGTGTGTTTGATATTGCAGGATCTCACTGAACTATTTTCGTGTGTGTGTTGTTGTTGTTGTTGTTTTAGGGAGACGCAGGTCTGATCCCGAGGTTCTGTGAAGGTTTGTTCACTCGTATCGCTGCGACCACTCGATGGGATGAAGCTTCATTTCGTGCAGAAGTCAGGTGAGGCCAGATTCACACCTGCTCTGCTCACATTTTCACAATCCAGTTTATTGCAGAGTAGGCTTTCAGGTCAAAAATGTTGCTAATATTGGTGCGTAACATAAATATAGTAAAATGAAATACACCAATTATGAAACTTAAATGCAGAATAGATAGAGATCTAAAATATACAATTGAGTAAAATGCTAAATATACCAACACTATTGTTAATTAAAAAGAAAGCAGTATAGCAAATGTAACTCATGCTGCATCAAACTCCAATAACCTTACATTGAAGCACAGGTGCCAAATCTTTGCTGAAATCATCTTTATAAATCACATTTTTAATATTGCTGTGAAAGAACTTAATCATCACCGTCCATCCTCAGTTTGATCGATAACCGCGTCCCCTAACTTTCCTCTTGCTCTCAAACAGAATGATTGACAGGGAGCAGGTAGCATATTCAACTAGCATCAGGAAGGAGTCATTTTTGGGATGAAACGCTTTGTCTTTGAGGCTAAAAATACACTTTGGACTTAAAGCAGATAGAAAAAGGTAAATTGGGATTAAAGCCATGTCTTCCTTTTGGTTTATCTCCTCAGCTACCTGGAGATCTACAACGAGAGGGTGAGAGACCTGCTGAGGAGGAAGTCCACTCAGACCTACAACCTGAGAGTCAGGGAGCACCCCAAGGACGGCCCGTATGTAGAAGGTGAGACTACAGAGCAAGGCTAGAAAGTGCAGTAAAATGTTCTTGTTGCTAGTTTTAGTTAGTTATTTAGTGAGTACGAGTTAGTCTTTTGCTCTTTTTTGTACAACAATGTCATTTCTACGCTTTCTGTAGTCTGGTTTCAGGTCAGCTTTATAGTCTGGGAAGGTAATGCTCTTTTCTAAAGCTAAAAAGACACCAGAGCCTGTTGTAGATATTGTAACTACGCAAGGAATCAAACTTGAAGTGGTTACCTGTTACAAATACCTTGGTATCTGGCTTGATGATTGTCTCACTTTTAAACTTCATGTCAATAACCTGCTTAAAAAGCTGAGGGTTAGGCTAGGTTTCTTCTTCAGGAACAAGTCCTGTTTCTCGCTTGAGGCCAGGAAAAGGCTAGTCACTGTGACCTTTTGACCTGTGCTGGACTATGGTGATCTGATGTATATGAATGCACCTGCCCATTGCCTGGTCAAGTTAGATGCTGCGTATCACAGTGCACTGAGATTTGTGACAAACTGTAAAGCATTAACCCATCACTGTACCCTGTATGCAAGGGCTGGTTTGCTTTCACTAACTGTACGGAGGCTCAGTCACTGGTACATTTTTATATACAAAGCCATGTTAGGGAAACTTCCATCTTATATCTGCTCCCTGATCTCACGGTGAATTGTAAGTGGCTACTGCCTGAGATCGCATGCTGTGGTTTTATTAATGTGCCAACTGCTAGGACTGTCTTAGGGAAGACAGCTTTTAGATGCGCAGCTCCTCTGTCTTGGAATAGTCTGCAAATTAAATGGAAACTGAGCAATCTGGTGCCACTAAATCTTTTTAAAGCTCGGTTGGATGCTACTCAATCGGAAGCTGTTGGTACCTGCTCATGTGGATAGTTATGTAAATTGTAATCCCTGTAATGATGCTGTAAGATGTCCTTTTTGTTGCTCTGTTTATGTTTTTATGTTTCATGTGGAACCTACTTGAGCAGGTCTCCCTTGAAAAAGAGATCAATGATCTCAATGGGATACACCTGGGTAAATAAAGGTTTGAAATGAAATGAAGTTAAAGTGAATATCTCAGGATGGTATTTTGTTCTCACAGCAGTTTAAAATGATGTTATCTTTTAGATTCAAGGCTTTTATTGTCCTGTGTACATAGCTACAGTGTAGTTTTGACAATGAAAATCTTAGGTCACGGGCTCCTCCAACAGTGCAACACAATAATACAGATAAAATAGTGCAAGTCCATCCATCCATCCATCGATTGGAATATTGATATATTGTAGAATTGTATCTTACAGTCTTTAAATTGAGTAGGAATATTCAATCTGTATGCAAGTAGCTAGCTGCTAAACATGTTGTTGTTTTGCCTTTGGTTCATGTGTCTTCTTCTGTCTCAGATCTGTCCAAACACCTGGTGCAGAACTACAGCGACGTGGAGGAGCTGATGGAGGCCGGAAACATCAACCGCACCACCGCCAGCACGAGCATGAACGACGTCAGCAGCCGCTCGCACGCCATCTTCACCATCAACTTCACACAGGTCAGGAACTATTAACAGACTCCGGAGATTAAATCATTTCCCTACAGAGGGTTAGTTTTCTCTGTGGAGGCAACTGGACACCACAGACTGACACTAAAAAAAAAAAGTGTCTTAAATATTTTGTAAAGTTTGCTCTGAAAACAACTCAGTCATCAAACAACAGCATAAGGATGCCAAAAAAAGGAAATGTGTCCAAGAAATACAACAGTTTGAAGAAGTCTGGAGCAGGTGGTTGAACGTAGGCGAGTAATGTAACCATCCTACAATCACATTTAGAAAAAAAACAACTTATTTTGTTGTAAGTGAAAACTAACGCAGCAGAAAATAACACATCATTCATCCTGCTCTGCAACATTTCCTTAAACTGACATCTTGTTTGTATTTGACTGAAAGTATAGATAATAAGTAGCCTTTGTCCAAAGGTAACAGTTTTAAACATTCAAAAATAATTCAAGTTGATATCTTTCAACTAAGGTTTTTAGCAGTTTTTAGCCCCCCAAAAATGTGAGATTTTAAATTACCACATTTTAGACTAATACCCTCTCTGTCTTTTGTTTAGGCTAAGTTTGATTCAGAGATGCCCAGTGAGACGGTCAGTAAGATCCACCTGGTGGACCTGGCCGGCAGCGAGCGAGCCGACGCCACGGGAGCCACGGGCGTCCGACTGAAGGAGGGAGGAAACATCAACAAGTCCCTCGTCACCCTGGGCAACGTCATCTCTGCTCTAGGTAAGAAACAGAACATTCTCTCAAATCAGTTTTGAAACTTTCACCTGTAACACTTTATATTAAGGTACACTTATTCACCATCAATTAGTTGTTCATTAACATATTGGAGACAAACTACTAGCTTATATGTTATGAACAAGACTTCACTTTAGAATAGGGAACATATTCGGAGTTAGAAATACCACATTTTCTGTTATTTTGACACAATTAACACTTTTAGTTTCATGTCTTGTTACATAAGAATATACCATATTTGTTTGGTGTTATTATGAGAGAATGGCTATTCTTGTGGTACTGCTACTGCATATTGAGCATATTAAGACCAAACTCATGTACAACAACGTCCTTACTTACAATAAATAAGCACTAATTAGAGGGTTATTGTGGAAAAACTCTTAACTAATTGCCTATTACTGGGAGAATATGGTCATGTAGAATAAGGCGTTAATACGTGTTTTATAATGACTAATAAAGAGCCAATATACTGCTAATATGCATGTAAATCAACAACTAGTTGATGGTGAATATGTTTACCTTAAAGGTCCCATGTCATGGCCATTTCTACTGATCATAATTCCATTGTTGAGGTCTACTAGAATAGATTTATACTGTTCAATGTTCCAAACTCACATTGGTTTCTCATACAGCATCTCTGTATAGTATGTGTATTCACTCTCTGTCCTAAACGGCTTGTTGGAGCTCCTAAACCCCCCCCCCCCCCCCCCCCCCCCGTGAGCCCACTGTGCTCTGATTGGTCAGCTCGCCCACTCTGTTCTAATGAGTCCACCACCGTTACAGCGGTACATCAGTGATTATGTTTTACAATGGCGTTTGTTAGCAACCAGAAAATGACACCAGTAATGACAAACAGATGAGAATGCTGCGTGGGGTCTGGGTGCCGTGTTGGCGGGACGTTGCGGGGCTCGCTGCTCCGCCCTTTGAGGCTCGAGGAGCGGACAGTGTGAGCTGGATTAGTGGTGTCGTTTCCTGGTTGCTGCGTGGGGTCTGCGAGACAACACGAAACTCAGCCTGAACTCAGCCTGAGCACACACACACACTCGTAGCCTGGCTGTGAGTTTGTGTGTGTGCTCAGGCTGAGTTTCGCTGAGAAATCCGCAGAGCTGCGGCTGAGAAAAGATAAGGCTGACTGAGTGTGTGTGTGAGGAAGTCTTCCTCACACACACACGCCGTTACGTCACTTAGCCCCTACGACCCAGGAAGAAAAAATATGGAAAAATAAAAATCCCCAACGAGGCGTTCTGGGGCAGCATAGACAGGTATTTTCTGTGTTAGAGTTTTACTCGCTACATGGTGTACTTTGAGGGTTTGTGACTCTGCAGACCGTTTACATGCAGAAAAACCTTCATAACACAAGGGGACGGGTCATAACCAGAAAAGCATGACATGGGACCTTTAATATAAATAATTACCCTTTCATCCGTCTGTTTTTATTATGTTTGCTGACTTGCTGACTGATTAAAGGATCTGTTTGTGTTCCAGCGGACATGTCTCAGGATGGAGGGAACACCAACCTGAAGAAGAAGGCTGTGTTTGTTCCCTACAGAGACTCGGTGCTCACCTGGCTGCTCAAAGACAGCCTGGGCGGAAACTCCAAAACCATCATGATCGCCAGTGAGACAGAATCATTTAATAACACACTGTGGCGGCTCAATTCCCAGTTCAGTTTGAGTCGCCGAGAGGCTAAGCTTGGCTTTATACTGTGACGCGGTTTCAATGAGAAAGTACATACTGAAGTAAGATAGGTTGAAGATATATATATTTTCACATCCCCCCCCTTCCCCCCCACTCCCATTGCTCCCCGGCGCTGTATAGCTGCCCACTGCTCCTAGTGCTAGACTCCTGGCACTAGGATGGGTTAAATGCAGAGAACAAATGTCACTGTGTGCTCTGCATGTGTGGCCATTAAAGAGGGTTTCATCCCTCCTAATTCTATTCTACAACACAAAGCAGAACAGCTCAGACATGACATGACAAGTAAGGTACGTAGATAAGAATAAGAAATTAAAAAACACTGCACAATGTAGGGATCCCCAAGCTCTACTATTCTCTATCCGGGGGATAGAGGCAACAACAAAATTAAGTTAGATAGTAATAATGATCAAAAATAAATAGACAAACACAGATGACAGGGTTACAGGAAAACACAAAAACAGTCAAATCCAAAGTGCATAGGAGCGCTAGGCTGAAGGAGGAAACCCTCGTAATATAGAAGATGACAGTGTTGGTCCAATATAGTCCAAGTAAGGGACTCATTGAGAAGCGTCCAAGGTAGAAGATATCTAATAAACAACATCAAAACACACAATAACTTAGATGGACAAAAACGGTCAACAGAAAAAAATGTCGGCACAAGCTCACCCTCTGTCACCCGCACCCGACATGAATCAGGTGACCTATACACACAAACCACACCCATGTGACGATTACCAGAGGTGCTCAACAAATACAAATAAAAGTGACGTAAACAAATAATAATAATAATACAAATAATAAACTCAGGCTAAGTAGCATTTTGGCTCCTACACACACAAATTGTCTGATGTAACTTTAAATGTCTTTTTGTAGACGTTTCCCCCGCCGATGTGAACTACGGAGAGACGCTGAGCACGCTGCGCTACGCTAACCGAGCCAAGAACATCATCAACAAACCCACCATCAACGAGGACTGCAACGTCCGGCTGATCAGAGAACTGCGAAATGAGATCGCCCGCCTGAAGGCTCTGCTGGTTCAGGGCAACCAGGTAAACAAACACTGCCAGATACACACACACTGGATCTGTTTCTGACTGCAGGGAGGTTCGCTCAGGCGTATGCACAGGTGTTGTAATGGTTAAACAAAGGAACTAAAAGAAGATCAAGTTTCAAGGGTTTTATTGTCATGTGTGCAGACTGTAGCTACAGTGTAGTTATGGCAGTGGCGGCGGCAGAGGGTGTGTGTGTGTGTGTGTGTCTACAGAAGGTCCAGTTGTGATAGACACGGTTCGCCACTGAGTTATGACAATGAAAATCTTAGGTCACAGGCTCCTCCAACAGTGCAACACAATAAAACAGTACAAGTAAATAAAATAAAATTGAATATGATAGAAAGAGAATATGGTAGAAGCTGTGCAGATGAAGCTGGACAGCTGGTCCACAGAAAAAAATCAATGGCTTGTCAATTTATTGTTATTTATAAATATTTTGTATTCTGAAAATGCCATATACAGCTTCTCAAGTGTATATATATTCCTTTTTTCTCAGTTTCATCTCACATTAAACTGATTATTTTTGGCCTGTGGAAAAAAACAAGACATTTTTAAGGACTTTTGACTCTGAGAAAATAGAATGGACATGTTTTAAAATGTTCTAACTTTTTCTTTACCCAATTATTATTCAAACTAATAATCGGCACAGATGAATCGATAATGGAAATAAGGATCCTTCGCAGCCATAGTAGAGGGAAAGTGACGATTCATTAAAAACAGCTCATGTCATTTTTCAGAAAGTTTGGTTTTATTTTGAATCTGCTCTGAACTTTTTCATAATGTTATGTTTTGTCTGAAATATGCTACTAGTTTGAACAGTTATGATCATTATATGTAGTGTTTTGAACTGTGTGTGTCTGTGCGTCAGATTGCTCTCCTGGACTCGCCCACTGCTCTCAGCATGGAGGAGAAACTGCACCAGAATGAAGCCCGAGTGAGTCTTTCACATCAATGTTCACAATCTTTTTCAAGTTTCAAGTGTGATGACTCCTGTACTAAACTAGATAACTATTTAACATTCATGAACTGGAAATGTGTATTTTTGTATGTGTTGATCTTTGCTCTTCTGAGGAGTTTAACACCTGTTACCGAGTGTTTATTGTTTGTGTGTGCAGGTGTTGGAGCTGACTAAAGAGTGGACCAACAAGTGGAACGAGACGCAGAACATTCTCAAGGTGAGTTTGTTCATCACTCATGTTTCTCATGCTCGCTGTGTGGACTGTCGCATTGCAATATGTTTAAATGACCTCTGCTGATGTTTGCTTGAAGAAAAAAAACCTGGTTGTACTTTGCACTTCATATTATTTGTATATTCAATTCCGATTTTTATTTTGTTCTTGAATCGTCACCTAAAAGGATTTTTCCTTCACTAATAACTTTTTTATTTTGTGCAAAACTTAGATTGTTTTGTGAAATTATAGCTGAGGTTTTACTTTGTTGTCACCCTTGTGTCCAAACCTGCCTCATGGACACTGCACATTTTATGAGTTCAAGTCTCAAAATCAAATGCCTTTCATAAACGCACATTATTTGCAAAATAGGAATATTATTTTTGCCCATTTTACATTCTTTTGTCAATATTTTGCAAATTATATCCTTGTTATATTATTGTTAATTTAATATGTAATTTATTGTTTATTTTTATTTCAATTTTAAATGGATGATTCTCTTGTAGTACTTATGTATGTGCAAAGCTACTTGACGCTAACCTGTGTGTGATGTTGTGTCCAGGAGGAGACTCTGGCTCTGAGGAAGGAGGGCATCGGCGTAGTGCTGGACTCGGAGCTGCCTCACCTCATCGGCATCGACGACGACCTCCTCAGCACCGGCATCATCCTGTACCATCTGAAGGTCAGAAATCACTTCTCCTGGAGCACAGAGGCCCAAATGATCTATTTATGATATTTAACTAAGTGTTGTTTACCTGGTGCACACTACTGTTATATCTGGTTTGAGTAAAGTCTTCATCAAGGTTTTAAAAGAAAAAAACTGAACGAATGTTACAAACACATCCTGAAACATTTTAACTTAATTTTCAGTCAAAGTAAACGTTATTGTCAATCTTCCAGGTTGTGTGTACAGACAGCGAGATCGTAATACCGTCTCCCACAATCCCGAATACAAAAACAAATATATAAAAATATGTGTGCAAATATGTATATCCTATATATATACACAATCAACGGACACATTTTTACATATGCACACATTAAGACCTAAATAAAAACACAACCATCAATATTATACAAAATAACAGTCACTTCAATATTTTGAGAATGTGCATTAGTACAAGATTGTCCATCCAGCAGCGTATTTCATTTCATAATCTGAAATGTCACATCAGAGACTCCATAATGACTTCAGCTTTGCAAAATGAAGTGTCTTTGAGTGTGTGCCTTCGTGTCTTTCTGTTGCCGACTGGCTTTTAAACTTCTCTGTGTTTTTCCTTCTTCTTCCTCAGGAGGGACGGACATATGTGGGCAGAGAGGACGCGTCCACGGAGCAGGACATCAGTGAGTTTGTCATATGAGCCTGTTCTCTTTTAACAAGATGTAAGGGAAAATGTACAGATTAACAAACAAGGAAAATCTTTTTTTCTCTATGTATTTAATTTCACTGGAGATGTGTATGTGCGCCACAGAAAAACAAAGGAAATCAGGGCAAATAGACATGTGTAAATACATTCCCACTCGATAATTATGGTCACATGTTTGGACATTAGATAAACGACATTTAATATACTAGTTGTCATTATATATAGATTCAAACAATGTTCTTCCTTTCATGCCAGAAGTAGTTTGATATCTGACGGAGAAACTCATGTAATAAAACTGTTTTTGACAGTTAAAAAACGCTTATGTCTATATATCTATCTTACTTTAGACATATTTTCCCCAAGAAGATTGAACCTAATCCTCTGTATTAACTCTTTCTTTGTCTATTAAGAACTGTCTTATTTGATATTGTACATAGTATTTCTTTAACTGATACTGTAACTGTGCAGATGTTGACTCAGTTTTTGGCAGTAAGTGGCATTAATGTCTTATTTCCTCCTCCTGCAGTCCTGCACGGTCTGGACCTGGAGAGTGAGCACTGCAGGTTTGAGAACCAGAACGGGAAAGTGACTCTGGTGCCGCTCGGTAGAGCTCAGTGTTCGGTTAACGGAGTTCAGGTGACGGAGCGGTCGCAGCTCAACCAAGGTGAGGAAGAAGTCTGAAGAGAAATCATCATTAATTGTCTTAAAGGTCACCTATTATGCAAAATCCACTTCTTCATGTCTCTTCTACATCAACATGTGTCCCCTCTTCTTCATGTCTCTTCTACATCAACATGTGTCCCCTCTTCTTCATGTCTCTCCTACATCAACATGTGTCCCCTCTTCTTCATGTCTCTTCTACATCAACATGTGTCCCCTCTTCTTCATGTCTCTTCTACATCAACACGTGTCCCCTCTTCTTCATGTCTCTTCTACATCAACATGTGTCCCCTCTTCTTCATGTCTCTTCTACATCAACATGTGTCCCCTCTTCTTCATGTCTCTTCTACATCAACATGTGTCCCCTCTTCTTCATGTCTCTTCTACATCAACATGTGTCCCCTCTTCTTCATGTCTCTTCTACATCAACATGTGTCCCCTCTTCTTCATGTCTCTTCTACATCAACATGTGTCCCCTCTTCTTCATGTCTCTTCTTCATCAACATGTGTCCCCTCTTCTTCATGTCTCTTCTTCATCAACATGTGTCCCCTCTTCCTCATGTCTCTTCTACATCAACATGTGTCCCCTCTTCTTCATGTCTCTTCTACATCAACATGTGTCCCCTCTTCTTCATGTCTATTCTACATCAACATGTGTCCCCTCTTCTTCATGTCTCTTCTTCATCAACATGTGTCCCCTCTTCTTCATGTCTCTTCTACATCAACATGTGTCCCCTCTTCCTCATGTCTCTTCTACATCAACATGTGTCCCCTCTTCTTCATGTCTCTTCTACATCAACATGTGTCCCCTCTTCTTCATGTCTCTCCTACATCAACATGTGTCCCCTCTTCTTCATGTCTCTTCTACATCAACATGTGTCCCCTCTTCTTCATGTCTCTTCTACATCAACACGTGTCCCCTCTTCTTCATGTCTCTTTACATCAACATGTGTCCCCTCTTCTTCATGTCTCTTCTACATCAACATGTGTCCCCTCTTCTTCATGTCTCTTCTACATCAACATGTGTCCCCTCTTCTTCATGTCTCTTCTACATCAACATGTGTCCCCTCTTCTTCATGTCTCTCCTACATCAACATGTGTCCCCTCTTCTTCAAGTCTCTTCTACATCAACACGTGTCCCCTCTTCTTCATGTCTCTTCTACATCAACACGTGTCCCCTCTTCTTCATGTCTCTTCTACATCAACATGTGTCCCCTCTTCTTCATGTCTCTTCTACATCAACATGTGTCCCCTCTTCTTCATGTCTCTTCTACATCAACATGTGTCCCCTCTTCTTCATGTCTCTTCTACATCAACATGTGTCCCCTCTTCTTCATGTCTCTTCTACATCAACATGTGTCCCCTCTTCATGTCTCTTCTACATCAACATGTGTCCCCTCTTCTTCATGTCTCTTCTACATCAACATGTGTCCCCTCTTCTTCATGTCTCTTCTACATCAACATGTGTCCCCTCTTCTTCATGTCTCTTCTACATCAACATGTGTCCCCTCTTCTTCATGTCTCTTCTACATCAACATGTGTCCCCTCTTCTTCATGTCTCTTCTTCATCAACATGTGTCCCCTCTTCTTCCTGTCTCTTCTACATCAACATGTGTCCCCTCTTCTTCATGTCTCTTCTACATCAACATGTGTCCCCTCTTCTTCATGTCTCTTCTACATCAACATGTGTCCCCTCTTCTTCCTGTCTCTTCTACATCAACATGTGTCCCCTCTTCTTCATGTCTCTTCTACATCAACATGTGTCCCCTCTTCTTCATGTCTCTTCTACATCAACATGTGTCCCCTCTTCTTCATGTCTCTTCTACATCAACATGTGTCCCCTCTTCTTCATGTCTCTTCTACATCAACATGTGTCCCCTCTTCCTCATGTCTCTCCTACATCAACATGTGTCCCCTCTTCTTCGTGTCTCTTCTACATCAACATGTGTCCCCTCTTCTTCATGTCTCTTCTACATCAACTTGTGTCCCCTCTTCTTCATGTCTCTTCTACATCAACATTGTGTCCCCTCTTCTTCATGTCTCTTCTACATCAACATGTGTCCCCTCTTCTTCATGTCTCTTCTACATCAACATGTGTCCCCTCTTCTTCATGTCTCTTCTACATCAACATGTGTCCCCTCTTCTTCATGTCTCTTCTACATCAACATGTGTCCCCTCTTCTTCATGTCTCTTCTACATCAACTGTGTCCCCTCTTCTTCATGTCCTCTTCTACATCAACATGTGTCCCCTCTTCTTCATGTCTCTTCTACATCAACATGTGTCCCCTCTTCTTCATGTCTCTTCTACATCAACATGTGTCCCCTCTTCTTCATGTCTCTTCTACATCAACATGTGTCCCCTCTTCTTCATGTCTCTTCTACATCAACATGTGTCCCCTCTGTGGAAAGAGACTCTGAAAGTTTCAGGAACAAAGATTCTCTCTCTTTTTGATCCATTTCTATAAAAACCTGTCTGAAAATGAGCCGATCAGATTTTGGCCACTTTATGATGTCATAACGATGTTTTGTCTTGTGTAACCATTAGCCAATCAGCAACCAAGATAACCCCCCCCCCCTTATCACCTGAATCTCCTCCTAGAGCACCATTGTGTTCTTTGTAACCAAATGTCTCTCAGAGGGGCGTGGGGAGGGGCTCCTTGTTTTCATCTAAAGTAACAGATTCAGCACTTTGGAAACAGAGGGGATTATGGGTAATGCTGCAATGATCTGTTTGGTGTTTGGAGCCAAACACTTCAGAGACATGTTTGTATATATCTGAGAGCTGTAATATATTGATGAAAAACAGTAGAATAGGGGATCTTTTAAAGTCACTCAAAATACACTCGGAACATGTTGAATCTCCAGATGTATGAAAGACCTTTCTGTTGTCGTCCAGGTGCGGTGATTCTGCTCGGCAGGACCAACATGTTTCGGTTCAACCATCCCAAAGAGGCGGCCAAGCTGAGGGAGAAACGAAAGGTGAGATTTGATCGTCTGAGCGAGTTCCCTGAAAACACGAATATTAAACTGAATCTGCTCTCACTTCAGAGCATTTTGTGAAGCTGCATTTGGCCATTACGCTCCAAACTGCTGATGTAACCTTCCACAGGAGCAGAATATATTTATACATTTTTAAATAAAGTAAAAATCCATCTTTTAAGTCCGGCTTTTAAGTAGTGTCTAAACAGCTATATTTGTATCATTTGTATTATGTGTATTTTTAGCTTTGTTATTTATTTCGCAGTTTTTTTGTTTCTACTTTATCGTTGGTCATTATGACTTGTTTTATTCTTTTTAACTACTTTTAACGTCTTCATTTCTTCTTGTAAAGCACTTAGAAGTTCATTTGTTTTGCTGAAAGGTGATATATATGATGTTCCCCCTCAGAGTGGCGTCCTCTCTACGTTCAGCCTCTCCATGACCGATCTGTCCACGTCCTGTGAGAACCTGTCCACTGTGATGCTCTACAACCCGGGGTGAGTGTCTGAACACACAGATAGCATCAGCTGCTGCATGCAATGATCCGCTGCAGTGCATCCCCCCTCTGCATCTAAAACCCCCCCGGTACTATTGTTTTTATCAGAGCGGATATGAGATCATGCTTTTATGCCTTCATGCAATGATAAGGGTTAAAAAAACATAGGTGACATTTAATAAAACACCACAGAGTCAAAGGTTTCACTACTAGTTCAAAATGAATGAAGTTTAAAATGATATATGAGGAGTAAACGGACACTTTTTCTAGAGTTGTGTTTTGAAATGATTTGTTCCAACCCACTTTTAGATATATTCTGAGCAAGACTCCACTCTGTCCTATTTATTTAACATAATTTGACTGTTTTTCCTTCTTTAAAGAAGGATCCTGCTGTATATCAGGGTAGCATTAATAGTTTTGCTCTATGTGATCTGCAGAAAACCTGCAACGCACTGCCATATTTAATGTACAAATATAACCAATTTCTAATCTATATTTCCCCTATTGTCATCAAACCATCAACATTTAATGCACCTTTTGAAAAGCATTGTGTGTGTATTGATGTGTTGCTAAATGAAGCTATTAGTCCTGCAGCTATCCATTTATTTAAGTAAAATGTATTCCATGGAACACATTTAAGCAATGCTTTTTCCATTGTGTATCTGATGAAAATCATAGCAATTTATTGAGCTTCATTCATTATACAAAAGGGAAAAACCACTTCTAAAGGTCTAGGGTAGGGTGGTCCTTCGTGAGAGGTACATTTTTTGAATTCACTTATTTTAAGCTCCAACCACCGGAATTCGTTATACTAGTCAAGAAAACTCTCCTGGTGAATTGTATTCAAATTCCAACAACATTTACCCCTCCCTCATCAACCTTGAAGTTTAGCCTCACGTAGGGTGGTCCCATACTTGCCAACCCTCCCGATTTTCCGATTTCATTGCCCTCTCCCGGTTTCCCCCCTGCGTCATATTTCTCCCGCATTTCTGACAAAATCAGATTTACTCACGACTGTTCCCACTCGGACTTTAATACAGCTATACCATCGTTCGGTTTCCATGGTAGCGCGTCTCTTTAGTAGCGCGCGCAACTGAAAGTCTGAGAGGATGTTCAGCATGGTGAGGAAGATAGTCACAGAAAACAGAACAAGAATCGACAACTCGCAAGGCATTACACTTACAACTACAATAAGCATGTTAATGTTAATCTAACAGCTCCGGCGATCCACTACCACTTGGCAAGGTTGGCAAGTATGGGTGGTCCTTAAAGTTGAAAGTGGGAAAGTCTAAGCTCCTACCCCCAGAATTCATTCTATTAGTGAAGAAAACTCTCCTGGTGAATGTTTTCCTCAATCTGACAACATGTACCCCTCCCTCATCGAGCTGGGCTGCTACACCAGCAGCTGGGGTTGGATCTTAGACTTTCCCACTCTCAACTTTAAGGACCACCCTAGTCTACAGCTTAAAGCGGATCAATATTATGTGTCTAAACTAAATCCTTTAATTTGCCTTGATATGTTTTGTAGTTACTGCAACTTACCATAATAAACTCTTCCCTATGATATGTATTGAGCCTATTCATGCTCTCCAGAGGATAACCCCCACTTATTTTAGACAGTTCATGATGTTTTTCACGTTGTGAGCTTCAGGACGAACTGTCAGCTGAATAATTGCTGGATTATTATGGCGCTTGTTGTTCTCCATTTTTCAGGAAATTGAACCTTTTGTTCTTAGTGTATTTATTTGTGATCAAATAATACACAACATGTACAACCAAAAGCACAACATTTTAATTTGTTTAAATAAATAACTAAAAGTACATAATGCAAATAAAAACCAGATAACGTTCTTTGTGTATTCTGTCCGGTTACTGTCGCTATATATCAAGATTTATTTTTAAATTATTGTAAAGAGAGATTTGTTTGGTTTATTTGTCGAGAACAGAACATGTCTACTCTGTAAGCAGCAGTGTGTTTTGTTAAATGTATTAAGCGCACAGTGTTCTGTCATCTATGCACACTTTAAGTTGTTGAATTAACTGTTGAAACCCTGTCCCGTTGACAGTCTCTTCACTGAGAAGGGCCCCGTCTTCCTCAGGTAGACTCAGCCGTCCACTTCCTGTCTAACTGTCCCGTTTTTAGACCCAGACGTGTGTTGATTCGTCCCGTCTCTAAACCTGACCCATCACTGTCTGTTTTTATTATTATTTTGCACTCCACCCGGCTGCTTGTGTCTCCATTTTAACGCCTGAGAGTAGAGAATGTATCGTTGCTTTTTCACACTGCCTGGCATTTCATTGTACGCCCGTCATTTTGTGCTGCTTTTATTTATTGCACCTTATTTGTTGTGGTGTTTAATGTTGACGATGTGTTAGTGGACTTTTTGGTGATAAGAGTAAAGGAAGCTGATGGGAGTGTTTTGTGTTTACAGGCTTGAGTTTGAGAGACAGCAGCGAGAAGAGCTGGAGAAACTGGAGCTGAAAAGGTACAAGTCTGAAAAGCTAAAAGTCTTGAGTATGCACTCATACAAGATTCACAGGGTTTAGTCATAACAGTTGTTGGCTATTTCTTCTTTCTTTTGCATCTGGAAATCGGGTTTCAGTTATAAATTACTATTCTAAAATTCAATCAGAGAATTCACTCGAGAAAACCACCTTTTGTAAAGTGAGAGCATAGGATAGGAGATGGCAGCAGAAGCAATGTAATGTTGAATACTGTGACACTTGAGATGGATGCATTTAAATGTTTTAAATGCAATTGAGAAATACCTTCATCAAGAAAACCTTTTTAGATAATCCTGAGAAACTCTGTTGAGGTTGTGGAAGATATGAGGAACATAAATGTAAAATATTTGTGTTGCTGCTGCTTTAGGAGGCTGATAAAGGACATGGAGGAAAAGCACCAGAGTGAGAAGGCAGAGCTGGAGCGGCTGCAGCAGGAGGTGGAGAGTCAGCGCAAAGAGTCTGAGGAGGTGCAGCAGAGGATCCTCCATCAGGAGGAGAGCCTCCGCTCGCGCAGCCAGGACATCGAGAGCCGCCTGCAAGACTTCCTGGCCGAGAAGGAGCGCTTCGAGGAGGAGCGACGCTTGGAGAATCACACAGAGGACCTCCAGCGGCAGAAAGTGCATCGGGAGGAAGACATAGAGGAGGAGCAGGAGGATGAAGAACAGCGGAGGCAGCAGCAGGAGGCGGCGGAGCAGACGGAGATCTACCGAGAGCTGGAGAGGCTGAAGAGGGAGCGCGAGGAGCAGAAGGTTCGTCTGGAGACGGAGCGCCGGCGCCTGGAGGAGCAGGACCGCGAGCAGCTGAGCCTGGTGGGGCGTCTGGAGGAGCAGCTGAGGGAGAAACACGACGCCTCCTCCATCCTGCTGACCCGGGAGGACGCCCGCCGCCTGGAGGAGGAGCGCCGGGCCCTGGCTGACATCAGAGAGTCACTCCTCCGCGCTAAAGAGGCCTCAGAGCGGACGGACGTGGAGGACGCTGGCGGGAAGGAGGCGAGATCTGCCCTGACGCGATACACCGACTTCAAGGAGGCGCAGGTGAAGGAGCTGGGCCAGCTGGAGGAGGGGCTCCGGCAGCAGAGGGAGCGCCTGGAGAAGGAGGTTTCTGCGGAGAGAAACACTCTGCAGCACCTCAACCACGGACTCAAAGACCGGCACCAGCAGCTGAAGGAGACGCAGGAGAATGTTTGTTTGTTTGTTTGTTTGGTCACCATGTCAAAACAAATGTGATTAAATTAGAGCAAATGGTTCAATATATCAAATGCAAGAAAGGGCTTTATCTTTCACACAAAACTCCTGCTGCGTGTTATGCCTACGTTCTAGCACAGTACTAGATCGGACAATTCTGACTTTTTCTCAACATTTCAAAATAATTTTTCTTAAAATCTCAAAATTCTGACTTTTTCTTAAAATTCTTACTTTTTCTCAAAGTTCTGACTTTTTTTCTCAAAATTTGGACTTTTTCCTCCAAATTCTGACTTTTTCCTCTAAATTCTGACTTTTTCTTAAAATTCTGACTTTTCTTAAAATTCTGACTTTTTCTCAAAATTCTGACTTTTTTTCCTCAAAATTCTGACTTCTACATTCACTATTTTCCCAACAGATATCCTGAAATACCCATGCTAAACCTCATTGTTTTACCAGGTCGCCAAGATAATTAAATGTAATCTATTATTATTATTAAGGGGGCGCAGGACGCTACAGCAGTGTCCCAGGAGGAGCAGCTGGTGAAGCAGGCGGAGCACAGGCTGCAGTTTAAGGAGCGACAGCTGGCCAGCGTTTCTGACGGACTCCTCCCCGCGCTGGCCGAGGAGAAGCTGAGAGCGGCCGAGATGCTGGAGCGCAGCGGAGGAGGAAACAACGGGAACTGCGACATCCCGCCGGGGCTCGACAACACGCTGTTCCAGGTGGAGAAGGAGCTGGAGGACAAGCAGGAGAAGCTGAGCCTCCACCTGCACAGCGCTCAGCAGCTGCAGCAGCTCCAGGAAACCTACGAGTTCACGGCCAACGTGGCGCGGCAGGAGGAGAAGGTGAGGAGGAAGGAGAAGGAGATCCTGGAGTCCAAGGACAAGCAGCAGAGAGAGGCGATGGAGCAGGCAGTGGCCCGGCTGGAGAGGAGGCACGCGGCCCTGAGGCGCAGCGTCTCTCTGGAGCCTGAAGCTGAGGAGCAGAGACACAACAGCTCCGCCAGGAACCTGAGGAGCGGAGCCGAGCTGGAGCAGCACAGGTCAGAGAGTCCAGGTTCAAGGCTTTTATTGTCATGTGTGCATAGCTACAGTGTAGATATGACAATGAAAATCTTAGGTCACAGGCTCCTCCAACAGAGCAACACAATAAAACAGATAATAATACAAGTAGATAAAATAAAATTGAATAGAAACAGAATATAATAGAAATAGCGCAGAATAGTCTAGTAATTTAAATATTGATATATATGAGTTGCAAACAGATGGATGTTCTTTCAAAAGTTCAGGTGTTTAACAGTCTTATGGCCTGTGGGATGAAACTGTCCCTGAGTGGTGGGTTTAGAATATACACAACTGGACAAGACTGTCGGAGACAAAATGCTTACTTGGCCTGAGTTTCTGATAAGATAAGATAAGAAGTACTTTATTGATGCCAATTTGGGAAAAATGTTGTGTTGCAGCAGCAGCATAGAAAGACATGGAATTGTACAATAAAAATGAAAAGACTAGAAATAAACATTCTAAAATGTAAACATCTCAATAGAAATAAAATGGCATTTAAAAAAAAAAGTATTATTTGTGTTATCATTGTTTATTTACATCATGTTCATTTGTATTTAGTTAGCCCCTATGATCACATAGGTGTGGTTTATTGGTATTCAGGCCGGTTTTGTGGATGACCTGTGCTGATATTTTGTTGTTGACCGTGTGGTCCTACTTAAGCTATCGTTTGTTTCATTTTGTCCATCAAACATCATCAACCTTTCAACTTCGGTATGGGCTTTCTTGTTAAACACACGTCACGACCTAAAGCCAGGTTTAGCCTCAATGTAGTGAGTACTGTTGGTCCTGAATCAGATATGGAGAAATCAACATTTTTGTGTAGTGCTGCCACAAAAACAGAGCTCATAGTGTTGAGCACTCACAGCCTCGCCGGTTGTTTTTTTCTCTGAAGGGTGGAGCGGGAGATCCAGAAGCTGCGACAGAGGATCAGTGAAGGAGAAGAGAACAACAGGAGTCACTCCATCAGTAACGAGGAGAAGAGCAGCTCTCCGGTCAGCCACATGCAGAGTCTGACCACGCTGCTGCCGCTGTCCGACGACAGGTACTCCTCAGGGAATACTCATGGTGTTCATTTTGTTTGCTATTTTTGTATTAGTTGCTGTCCTGTTTCAAATGTCAGCTTTTGTCATAATTAGCATTTTAGTCTTATCTTAGTTAAAGAAAACTTCAGCTTAATCTGTTTGTCGTCGATGAAAACTTGACTTTTTAGCCATCGAAAAATAACTAACAATATAATAAGAAAACCTACATTTGAAAACATTTGAGTCTGGCCTGTTTTATTGCCTTTTCGACTTTGTCTCGCCTCAGACATTGAAAAACGGTTGTTGAACTTCATATTTAGTATATTTTATTCATTAACAAAGAGCAACTGTCTTTATGATCCTTACTTAGCTATTTCTTTTCAAATGTTCAAATTGTTGTCATTGAATCATCCGGTCTTCTTTTTGTCTAGTTTTCGTTCAGGAAAAGCTTCGTATTCTCTTATTTAAAGAAAACTTCAGCTTAATCGATTTGTAGTCAATGAAGACTTGACTTTTTAGTCATCGAAAAGTAACTAACAATATCATATTTTGTCCCTTTTTTGTCAACGAAAAATGTAGTTATCAAAAAATCTATTAAAAAAAAGCAAGACAAGAACAAAGGCTTGTTGAACTTCATATTTAGTATATTTTATTTGTTAATAAACAACAACTGTCTTATGTCTTATAATATGATCCTTACTCGTTTACATTTTCAGAGTTTTCTAACTTCTATGCATTCCCCAAACTTAAAACAATATTAAAGGTCCCGTGTCATGGCCATTTCTACCGATCATAATTCCATTGTTGAGGAATACTAGAATAGATTTATATTGTTCAATGTTCCAAACTCACATTGGTTTCTCACAGCATCTCTGTATAGTATGTGTATTCACTCTGTCCTAAACGGTTTGTTGGAGCTCCTGCCCCCCCCCCCCTCCCTGTGAGCCCGGTGGCCGTCTGCGAGACAGCGAGACACAGCCCGAAACCAACACTCACAGCCTCGCCGCGTCCCGCCTTCTCAGGCTGAGAAATCCGCGTAGCTGCATCTGAGAAAAGATTGAGTGTGTGTGTGTGTGTGAGGAAGGAACGTAACAGCTCCGCGGACATAACGTTACGTCACTATACCCAAGAAGAAAAAAATGGAAAAAGAGAAATCTCCAACGAGGCGTTCTGGGGCAGCATACAGAGGTCTTTTCTGTGTTAGAGTTTTACTCGCTACAGGGTGTACTTTGAGGGTTTGTGACTCTGCAGACCGTTTACATGCAGAGAAACCTTCATAACACACAAGGGGACGGGTCATAACCGGAAAAGCATGACATGGGACCTTTAAGTATTGTCACAAATAAATTGTAGATTTATTAGAGTCTTGATTTTTCTATAGACCGATTGTTTTTTCATGTATTTCTTTACATTGTTACTCAAACTTGTTCTCCATCATCCAGGATAAATGCCTACATTGAAGAGGAAGTCCAGCGGAGGTTACACAAGATGAATCTTCTCAATGGCGGCAGCAGCATGGATCTGTCTCTGTCTCTCTCCTGCGAATCTCTCAGGGTAAGAACTGCTTTTCACCCCAGCATTAATTTATCTTTCACACCTGCTGACAACAAAACTTGTTCTTCCCACCGGGCCTTTACTCAGAATACTCAACATCAGTCATACAGAAAAACATCCACTTATTAATTAATATGTTGTGTTATTCCAGTAAAACTCACATGCAGTATGTATGTAGACACGTTTTCAGAATAGAATCCTTTATTGTCATTATACAGGTACAATGAGATGAGTAGAGCTACTCCTTTTTTTAAGGTGCCATCAAAAAACAAAACAAGAGACGTACAACATTCAGGAGAAGACAACATGCAAACAGCAAGCATTCATATTTCAATATGCAGATAAAGTTAAAGTGCAGGAATATATCGGTTTAAGTAAAAATAAATATCTTTGAATGTGTATAAAATATATGTGTATATATATATTGTGTCAGTGCAAGCTGGAGTTTAGTGCATGTATTGCTCTGGGGAAGAAACTGTCTGTTTGTCTTTATGCGTATACTGTACATATCCACCTATTCACTATTTGTTTGTGCACTATGTCAACAACTTTTTGTTGATTTAAATTAAAGCTCTACAGTTGTTGTTAAGAAACAGCTTAAAGAAACGTATTGCTCCTCATTGCGTTGAATATGGCTTCTATTCCTGAAACACATTGGGTGAAGCTTTATTTGTGCTCTTAAATGTATATTGTGTTGTTAAAGTAAAGTGTAAAGTAAAGAAATCCAGCAGGTCCAGTGTGGAAGCGGCTTTCTCTGTGTAGAACTGATATTTAGCTCTTTAACCCCGCAGGAGGAGGAAGAAGCTAGTGACTGTAGCTCTGTTAGATTAACAGAGGAGGTAAGACCAGGATCCACCTGCTCTGAATGAGACTTTCCCCGCTCTGAAATCTGCATGACTCTCCCAAATATGATTATGGATCGAATCATTAACACTTATATCAGTCAGCTCTATTGTTTGCTCTTTTAATTGGGTTCTTCTCCACCTGATCTTAACTCATCCGGGTTTTCTTTCATTTGTCCCTTTCTCCTGGCATCATGGTGTATAATTGGAATATAAAATAAAACATTATGCTTGGTATTTTGCACCTACTTAATGTTTTTGTTTGGTATTTGAGACACTGATAATTAATGTTTTAATGTTTTCAGGATGAGGAAAAGCAGAACAACATGAATCCGAGACGGCTCAAATATGAGGTAAGACAAAGGTCTAATTTTAGTATTGGGATAATTATCTTTTTCATAATAAATCAATTAACATCTGTAAACCTGCTACATTTAAACAATGACTCGCATGCATGTAAAAAATGAAACATGATTCCACATATCATTGACCAAAATCAATGTAATTTTAAATGAGATGGTGAATGGGTTTCCATTTTATTTCTTCAGATTTGTAAAACACAGGAATTCACAGACGTGCACATGTTCTTTTATAATTCCAGTTTAGTAGTACGAGATAACAATTTAAATAGCAAATTGTTAGGATTGGAGCCAGTTTTGAAAGTTGATCAACTCTTGTTGTTATTGGTGAAAGCAAAGTGGGAAGAAAGCCCATTCTCCTCTTTAGGATGGTAGCAACCAAATAAATGAAAAGTAGACAGACAACTAAACACATGTATGCAATGTATTTCAGCTCAAAGTCCTTCATTTCAAACTATGTGAAACTAAATATGGGTAGAATAGTTTACGCAGATCCCTTTGTGGATTTCAAGCCAGAAACAAAAAAATAACAAAATATAGTTCTGTAAAGACAATCGATGTGCTCACAGGAAGGTTATAGTGATAAGAAGTATTTGCAAGTGCGACTTTTCCCTCATTTATTTAGAATTCAAAGATTCCCAGTACACTTGTCATCCTAATTTGCATGCCAACCCTCTTTACACTGTTAATTTTGAATCACTTACAACTCGCCTGTGCACCTGGTGATGGAGGAAATGGTAATTCTCAATGGGTTGGATTATGGACTTCAGTATAATTCCTTCACGTCCTTCTTGGCGATGTAGTCATGGACTCCCCCCTTGTGCACACAGAAAGCCTACGAGTTCGGGTCTAGCTTCCTACCTGCCCCGGAGCTTGAGGCTTACTCCCCTCCTCAAAACCAGAAAAACCTGTTGGAAGAACCAGAGAACGACCGCTTAAAGCTTCACAGAGAAGAAAAAGTAGAATCAGCTGGAGAGTTGATTAAAAAAGAGGAAGTGCCTTACAAATATGTCCACTACGACAAATGGTGGCAAGATGGAGTGACAGTACCCCATGAAGAAGTTGCCCAAGATGTCTGTAAACCTGATCACTGTGACATTGGACAACGCAAGCTTTTTGACACATCGGCAAATACAGAGAACAACGGATTTGATGAAAACAAAAACATTCCTGATAAGGAAGGAAACTCTTCTGCCTGCTGTGAACCCGATAACAAGGTTGACGATACAGCCAGCAAGCACCAAACAGGGATAGAACAAGATGGTGACCTTCCCAATGGTCAATCATCAAATTTGAAGAACTCTGTCAATGGTAACATCAGTGAGTCCGTAAATAAGGCTAATTCCAAAACTGAGAAAGTAGCAGCAAGCGGGGGCTATGGTTTTGGTTATTTTGCTGGAAAGTTGTCCGAAGTGTACAAAGACGCCAGTAGAACACTACAGGGCACAAGTGAAATCGTTCGAAATATACAAGTGACTGAAATGAAGGATGTAGTCTCTCAGTATGTGACCATGATGTCCAAAGAGCTGCCATTAATTAACCGAATGCAACCGGAGCCACAACCATGTTTTGATGCCAAAGAAAACAAAGTCAGTCTGGTTAATCTGTCCAAAGATTGCGCCCTAAGTCTACCACAAATGTACGGCATGTCTACAATCCCAGGCGTCTCCGAATGGCCAGAAGGCTCTGTGTCGTCTCTCAAAGACCAATGTCCTGAAGTGTTTTATCAAAAGTTAGTCCAGCTGCCTCCAGCCTTGTCTGAGCTACAGACCTTTACATCCCAGAAGATGCTTGAAAAGTTGGAATCTCTGAGTCCTCGAAAAGTCAACAAGCTCTTGAGTATCTTCTGGCTCAAAGCTGCCAACAGTAAGCAGCCGATAGCAAAGCCTGGGTGCTTGCTTTTGACCGAAAAGGAGATAATAGTGCTGTCAAGTGAAGCAAATTCAGACGAAACCATAACTATTCGTCACCATTTTAATCTCCTGGAAATCAAGATGGTCCAGATTAGCTTGGCAGGACAGCACGTTCGCCTAATTGGCTCCACGGAAGACACCATCTTGGTTGTTTTTACCCACAGCAAAGAGCTGACCCAGGACTTCTGCAAGGCTTTACTGAAGGTCCTTTCTCAGGGAAAGTCCTCTGAAGGGACTGAAGATCACCCGTTGCTCTCCGGTGATCTCATGGTTCTCTCTTTGGATTGGACGTCAAACATTCCTGACATAGTTCTGGATAACGGACTTAAAGTTACCTGCCGATTCAAGCACATCCTCGCAGACTTGCTCTACTTCGTCCATGGGAACATGGAGGGTCCTGGCAAACCTTCTCTGGCACACATTCGTCCTCTGCTCTACACCAGCGTCAAAGTCAAGGATGTTCCCCGCTTGCCCAAAGACGCCATTTATCAGTTTCTCCTGACAGACAGTCATGTGGTTCTTCTTCGGGAGGACGGTGTCTTTCACCCGGTGCCACGAGGATCCAGTCTGCTTCTTGCTGTTCCTCAGTTTCAGGCATTCAAACTCTGCCGGCGATCAGACATCAGATGCCTGTTCGTGAGGAAGGATGACAACTGCCTGGTGGTGGATTTCACGTTTAAAAGTCAAAAAACAAATACGCGAGAGAAGAAGATTGAGTTCAGACGAGGCTCGGCTGACGTGTGCTCCATCACCAATTTGAGCAGTCAGGGTGATTCCTGGAAGTTATGTTTTGGATGTAGCTCAGAAGCTGAGATCTTGATAAACCATCTGTGTACTTGAGTTAAACACCTAAAGGCAGTTTCACTTGAATTAAGTTACAAATGCAACGTACTTAACTGCGTCCAAAAGGAAGAAATTGAAATGAAGAAAGATATTCAGTCACCTATAATTGTTTCGGGATGTGTTAAATAAGTTACCACAAATTGACGGAAAAAGAGTTAAGAGACATTTCTGGAAACATGATTATTTATAATGTCAAAGTAAAATTGAAGCATTTAAAATGATTTTAGATATTCCAATGTTATTTTGTGATTTCCTCAAAGTCCTAAAGATTTTGTTTTTAAATGAAGAAGCACAGATCATGTTAGGTTTATATTCATTATTATTTATTGTCATTTCTGTTGTTTATTTGTTGTTTTAAATAATAAATGTACTTTTGAATTTCAATGTTTGTTTTTTTAAGTGTTTTTTTTGCTTTCTACTATTTTAAGTCATGTTGACAATTCTTGATTTTTGTTTGCCTTGCAATCATTTATGGTTTAAACTTTAAAGGCAACATTTTGTAGCTGCACTTTAATTATCGATCGAATGACTTAAATAAATGCTTTATGATAAGAAGTGATTAAACATAAAATATGATTAATATGTATTTAAATCAGCAATGTTTAAAGTGCCTTTAACTGTTAATAAACAGGATAATAAAGATTAAACACTCAGTGATTCTTATTGACCCAATATATTTGGCATTTCAAATACACCATTCAAGTAAAAAGAAAATGGTTCATAATAATGTTTTCTGAGTCAACCCTTTACTCTCCACTTCCTTTCTTGTTCTTCTCTTCTTTTCCTCGTCTTTTATCTACCGGTGATTTCCTCTGCAGCATCTGGTGTGTCGCTCCGGGACGAGCTCCGACGACCTTCAGGAACCCGTTAAAATTAGCATTCCTCGTTACGTTCTCCGCGGGCAGGGGAAGGACGAGCACTTTCAGTTCGAGGTGAAAGTGAGTTCAGGACTGAAAGGTCCCCTGTTATACTGTTTCTCATCAATATATTACAGGTCTCAGATATATTCAACACATGTCTCTGAAGTGTTTGGCTCCAAACACCAAACAGATCATTGCAGCATTACCCACAATCCCCTCTGTTTCAGCCCTGTTTCCAAAGTGCTGATTCTCTGTCTGTTACTTTAGATGAAAATAAGGAGCCCCTCCCCACGCCCCTCTGAGAGAGATTTGGTTACAAAGAACTCAATGGTGCTCTAGGAGGAGATTCGGGTGATAAGGCGGGGTGGGGGGGGGTGGGGGTTACCTTGGTTGCTGATTGGCTAATGGTTACACAAGCCAAAAAAACATTGTGACATCATAAAGTGGCCAAATCTGATCAGCTCATTTTCAGACAGGTTCTTTATATAAATGGATCAGGACAAAAAGAGAGGAGAATCTTTTTCCTGAAACTTTCAGAGTCGCTTTCCACAGAGGGGACACATGTTGATGGAGATAGAGACATGAAGAAGAGGGGAACAACATGGTTGATGTAGAAGAGACATGAATGAAGAGGGGACACATGTTGATGTAGAAGAGACATGAGAAGAGGGGGCACATGTTGATGTAGAAGAGAACATGGAGAAGAACGGGGACACATGTTGATGTAGAAGAGACCATGGAGAAGAGGGGGAACACATTTGATGTAGAAGAGAGCATGAGAAGAGGGGACACATGTTGAATGTAGAAGAGACTGAAAAGAGGGGAACAATTGAGTAAGAGACATGAAGAAGAGGGGATACATGTTGATGTGAAAAGAGACATGAAGAAGAGGGGACACATGTTGAATGTAAGAAAGGACAATGAAGAGAGGGGGACACAAGTTGATGTAGAAGAGACATGAGAAGGGGACACAAGTTGATGTAGAAGAGACATGAAGAAGAGGGGACACATGTTGATGTAGAAGGAGATATGAAGAAGAGGGGACACATGTTGATGTAGAAGAGACATGAAGAAGAGGGGACACATGTTGATGTAGAAGAGACATGAAGAAGAGGGGACACATGTTGATGTAGAAGAGACATGAAGAAGAGGGGACACATGTTGATGTAAAAGAGACATGAAGAAGAGGGGACACATGTTGATGTAGAAGAGACATGAAGAAGAGGGGACATGTTGATGTAGAAGAGACATGAAGAAGAGGGGACACATGTTGATGTAGAAGAGACATGAAGAAGAGGAGACACATGTTGATGTAGAGCGACATGAAGAAGAGAGGGGACACATGTTTGATGTAGAAGAGACATGAAGAAGAGGGGACACATGTTGATGTAGAAGAGACATGAAGAAGAGGGGACACATGTTGATGTAGAGAGAGACATGGAGAAGAGGGGACACATGTTGATGTAGAAGAGACATGAAGAGAGGGGACACATGTTGATGTAGAATAGACATGAAGAAGAGGGGACACATGTTGATGTAGAAGAGACATGAAGAAGAGGGGACACATGTTGATGTAGAAGAGACATGAAGAAGAAGGGACACATGTTGATGTAGAAGAGACATGAAGAAGAGGGGACACATGTTGATGTAGAAGAGAGATGAAGAAGAGGGACACATGTTGATGTAGAAGAGACATGAAGAAGAGGGGACACATGTTGATGTAGAAGAGACATGAAGAAGAGGGGACACATGTTGATGTAGAAGAGACATGAAGAAGAGGGGACACATGTTGATGTAGAAGAGACATGAAGAAGAGGGGACACATGTTGATGTAGAAGAGACATGAAGAAGAGGAGATTGAAGAAGAGGGACACATGTTGATGTAAAAGAGACATGAAGAAGAGGGGACATGTTGATGTAGAAGAGACATGAAGAAGAGGGGACACATGTTGATGTAGAAGAGACATGAAGAAGAGGGGACACATGTTGATGTAGAAGAGACATGAAGAAGAGGGAGACACATGAGTTAGAGAGACATGAAGAAGAGGGACACATGTTGATGTAGAAGAGACATGAAGAAGAGGGGACACATGTTGATGTAGAAGAGACATGAAGAAGAGGGGACACATGTTGATGTAGAAGAGACATGAAGAAGAGGGGACACATGTTGATGTAGAAGAGACATGAAGAAGAGGGGACACATGTTGATGGAAGAAGAGACATGAAGAAGAGGGGACACATGTTGATGTAGAAGAGACATGAAGAAGAGGGGACACATGTTGATGTAGAAGAGACATGAAGAAGAGGAGACACATGTTGATGTAGAAGAGACATGAAGAAGAGGGGACACATGTTGATGTAGAAGAGACATGAAGAAGAGGGGACACATGTTGATGTAGAAGAGACATGAAGAAGAGGGGACACATGTTGATGTAGAGAGACATGAAGAAGAGGGGACCCTGTTGATGTAGAAGAGACATGAAGAAGAGGGGACACATGTTGATGTAGAAGGAGATATGAAGAAGAGGGGACACAAGTTGATGTAGAAGAGACATGAAGAAGAGGGGACACATGTTGATGTAGAAGAGACATGAAGAAGTGGATTGTGCATAATAGGTGACCTTTAAGTAAATACACAATGGACCCTTTTTTGGTACACCTGTACAATCTTGTGCAACAGTTAAAGATGGGGTAGGTAATTCACTTCAGATACACTTTTTGTTATCATGGAATGCTCTTAACATCCCGATAACAATGAATACATGAAATGCTTTGACAATAAATATATACAAAAATATCATCTGTAGAAGCCGTAGCGCTGTAAAAAGCACCAGTTATCTGCCTCGGCCTGCGGCAGATAACTGGATGGCCTACCCGCCTGTCAGCCTTCCATCTCGTGCACAAACTTATCTAATGCCCTCATTGGTCATGTGCGCGTTCTTGTGTGTTGGAGGAGGGGCTCTGTGAGGAAGGGGTAGACTATTTTCGGTTGTGCTCTTTCAAATTCTAGCTTACTCGAGCTGGTTTCTCCATTCTTACCCACCCTACCTTTAAATACATTTTTCTCTATTAATTTCAGTTTAGTTGTTGGAAATGCGGTTAAAATGAATGTTTATTACTGAGGGTGTAGTACGGTATACAATTATATTTAGAGATTCACTCAATTAGGTTGCTTTAAGTGTGAAATATTTAGTTTGTGGAGATTTTGTTACACAATGATTAATCATCTCCGACCTCAGTTTTAACACTGAAACCTTGGGTGTACTTTTTTGATAGACTTACATTAAACGTTTCTCTCTCCGCGTTCAGATCACTGTGGGGGATGAGATGTGGGCCGTGTTCAGACGCTACACTCGCTTCCGGGAAATGCACAAGAGCCTGAAGTTGAAATACCCAGAGGTGAGAGAGAGAGTTTGATTTATTTTACTAGTATTGAGTCTGTCGAGTCACTTTGTCCGGGTCACACGTCTCTGAGATTTGTTTAGTGTCACTCAGAAGTCTCTGTTTGTTTCAGCTGGCGGCTCTCGAGTTCCCTCCCAAGAAACTGTTTGGAAACAGAGACGAGCGGATGGTCGCTGAACGCCGGAATCACTTAGAGGCAAGACATCTTTTATTTATTATTTTAAATATATTTGTATTGAAGATACATAGAAAAGACATGTACATTGATAGGAACCACAGTTACAAATGTTCAACAGTTCAAAGCTACTAGTGTTCAGCTTAGTCCCTACTATTGATCATCAATTGACAAGCCATACATAGTTGATCTTCACTTGAAGGCGTACAATATTTAAATCATAATTATAACCAAAGCAGACCATGTGGCCCAGGTGTAAGAGAGTGTTGTACAGACGAACAGGACAAAACAAAAATAAATAATAATAATAATAAAACAGTATAAAGACAAAAACTAAAAATACAATAAAGAAGGGGGGGGGGGTGTCCGTTAATCAGTCGACACAAATGAGAGAGATTTGAAGAAGGTTGCTGAGACAAGACATATTTTTACAGTTTGAATTACACGTGAAAGATAAAACCACCGTGTGTTCGAGGGAACAGAACTGTTAGAGGTCTGAAACTGTGGTAGACAGTGAGGATGTTTTCCATAAGAGACGCAGATATCGTACGTGTTTTCCATGTGATGAAAATATAAGATTTTAGTAATAATAAATGAGACATAAAACTACTGAACAAACATCATTTAAATGTATTTTCCGCTTTTTAGTCTTCTGTTTACTTTGGTAGATTCTGCCGTGCACTTCATTTACTCAATACATTTCTGCACACATCGGGTGTCATATAAGGTGTGAAAAGAAACACATTACAAAATGACATTTAAGTAGTAAAGATTTAGTGCAATTACAAAAAAAACACATCTTAGCAACATCCCCCTTTTATTTGGTAAATTTTCATGAATACAAATCACAGTTTTAGTTGGCTGTGGTGTCTCAGTATCATAAATAAATAAATTGATCTTGTAATCGCAGGTATCGATCAATGCAGAATGTTTTCAGAATGGCCGCCCGATTATTTGTTCTACCTCTAGTCCTGAAGCCTGTGAACTCATACGTGTTATTTATTTTCGTTGTAAAAGTGATTTATTTTTGGTTGTTTTGTACAAAAAAGATTATTTGTTTGAAACAATGAATCCAATATCACGGATGCTGATGACCTAATCTTTTATTTTCAAGAAGAATGTACGCTAGAGGGACCAGGAACATTTTCAAGCTTCTTCTTGCCCCTGTTGAACGTGACAGACTACTTGAGAATTTTTTTTATTTGTACCTTGAACGTTTTCTTTGTTTTGCTTCTCATTATTATAATTATTATTGTTGTTTGTTTTGTTTCTGACATATTCAATAAATTGACTAATAAAGTCTAACACTTGTTTTCACAGCGTTACCTGAGGAGCCTGTTCAGAGTGATGCTGTCGTCGTGCGGCTCGCCTCTCAGAGCCGACGCTAACGGCCATTTCCATCTCAGCAAACACGCCATCGGTGAGTTCTATCCGTTCTTCAAGAAGGGCGTCTTCGAGCACAGCAGCCACGGCACCGGATGACCCCGCGCAAGAAGAAACCTCCTCCAAAGAACCAAAAGGAAAACGAAAAACAGCTCGGTGCCTTTTTCTCCAGAGAGAATCGCTTCAGAGAGTCAAAGAAGGAAAAGCTTGCAGGTCAGTTTCCTCGATCTGAAACCAGGTGCTGCTCAGAGGAAGAGGAGGGAACTCAGAGCTGTGTTTCAATAGTTTAATTTAAACTATGTTACGGCAATACACGGCTAGACTAAATATATTAACATGCAGCTACGATATTTATAGAAACTCATGACCGTTTAGCAACTCTAAAGGTAAAAAAAAGCTGTTTTTATTGCCTGCTGAACAAAAGATGATCAACTAAACGGTTCCTCAGCAACAAAGTAATATATGATACAAAAACACCACACATTTCAGCTTCTTAAACGCGAAGATTTGCTGTTTTTCACTGCTAAATATCATTATATACAGGATATATATTGACTGTTAGTCGCTGTTAAACGAAATAATGCATTTTTAAGACGTTAACTTAGATTCTGGGAAATTATGTTGGGCATTTTTCACTCATTTTTCACATTTTATAGATTTATGAACCACTGTATTAATAGGAAAAAAAGGAATAGATAATAGAAATATATGTATTTTAGTTCAAACACATGATGGACCTTGAGTTGCTGAGAGAACAGCTATGAAAGACTGAACACTACTTTGACAGTAGATCACATTATCCTTTGTTTACTGACATTACTTTGCACTCAGAAAACGGATGTTAGACTGAAGCGGGGATAAATAAACACTAAACCGTTAAATGCTAGTCTGTGTGTTCGCTTCAGGTCACAGAAAACAAGTCAAAGTAATGCTGGAATTCCTCCATTGTGCTGTAGCAACAAGAGACAGACTAAATATTAGCATGGCAAGGCGTAATGTGATGTATATTTGAAGCTTAAGTCCCAAAAAAACCACATTTCTCTTGTTGTCAGACTGTTTTCTTTCCTGTCACTGACTCCAGCACTGTTTGAAGTTGGCGACGAGCAGATATTACTCAAAACAAATGCACTTAAGCTGAAATAACTCTGTGGAAGTGAAGCTAAAACACACAACCAGTAACAAGTTATGATAATGTGTCGCCTGCCGCGGTTACTCTGTTAAAACCACAACAGCTAAGAGTCTCTAGATTCATATGTTGGTTCCCATTTAACAACTTTATATGCACTTATGATCATATCGGTGCCATCTGACAGGTTTCTCTTTAAATGTTATAACAGTGCCACGCTTTATATGGGTCCAAGCAGGAGTGGATGAAGTTCAATTTATATAATTCACAAACGTGGAATAATCCCAAAGATAGTTACAAGGACAACATTTGCCATTTTTTTTTACATTTGCATTTTGTGACCTGTGACATTAAGGGATATCTACAAAGTAAGTGTTTGAGAAGAAGGGAAAGTGTTTCTGAGTTGGTTCCTTGTAAGCGTTCTTATGCTTTAACAAGTCATTAACCCATTACCCACTTTATTTAGGAATAATAATCATGGAAACCTGTAAAATAAATAGATCCCAGAAAGTGATGGTGTTTAGTTTAACTGACTCGCACTTCTCTCTTCAAATCATCACGTAATCAAACACACTTTTACTCATTAGATTCTTACTGTAATGACATAGACAGAAACTTGTATCACAGGGAACACTTTTCCTCCGGCAGCTCAGCACTTATATTTCCCGAGCTGATTTTATTTCCAAAGACCCGTCATGTGATCCTGAAGTCTTCCTCCTCACTGTTTGTCGCTGCTGTTTGAACGGTTTGTTTTTGACACTCGTGGAGTTTAATTAGCCGTCTGACCACGGACTGCTTTTTTCATAAGCCACACTGTGTGTGTAAATAGATTGTAAATGTCGATGTGCATAGTTTTTCTAAATGATATGCTTGTATGCAATGTGAACTATTGGCATTGAATGTCAGTAAAGGGAATGTACAACAACCTCCGGACTGTGGACTCTTTTCATTCCTTCGTGAAGCACCTGCCAGACAAATGTTTATTTTAACGCAAACTATGATCTTTTCCTATTTCGACAAAGTTGACAATTGTTTTCTGTGACCTAAACCAGAGGTAATTACTTGCAGAAAACTCAATGTGTGTGAAGATAACTGTCAAAGGAAAAGTTTATCCCTTACATGTTTCCATCTTAAGCTTTGTTAGGTAGTTTCGTAAGGGTTGTAGCTTTTCTCAGATGCAAAGGGATACTGACTTGTTGTGAAAAGTAACTACAATTCTACCCGTGATATACGCTCATTATATCACGGCTAAGAACCAATCAGATTGCTTGATTTGACTTGTCCGTTTTATAAAATTACATATTTAGTTAAAGCAGTACAAATGCCTAGCGTAAATATGTTGTTGGTCAACCGCTTAGAGATGTCCCGCCCCTTAGCCTATCACGTACAATGTGTTAGTGTTCTAGCCAATAGAAGCGCAACGGTTACAGAGTGATGTCACTTTGTTCAGGAAGTAAACCAAGGAGTCCAATTGCAGACCATTCACATGCACACAAACCTTTATATAACACACTGCACTAAACGGAAAACCCTGAAAAGCATAATAGTGCTTCTTTAACAAGATTTAAGAAAGTAGAAAAGTCACAAATGTCAAAAATAAGACAAATATTCTTTATTGTCGTTTTAACATTAGATTGAAGTTGTGATTTGGAGTTGACCTCAAACACTCCTCACCATCAGCATCAATAGAAACTAGGGCTGTCAAACGATTAAACATTTTAATCAGATTAATCACAGCTTAAAAATTAATTAATCATGATTAATCACCATTCGAACTATGTCCAAAATATGCCATTTATTTATGTATATTGTTGTGGGAATGGAAAGATAAATGAAAGAAGGCGGATATATCCATTTAACATACAGTATCTATGTTTATTATAACATTTTCTGCATGTCAAAATGAAAGACAACCCACACACCTATCAATCATCAAACCGTGGGGTCTTAATTCATTATGTGTTGATTTCTATCAACGGGGGAGTACTTCAGGAAAGTCGACAGAGAGGGGGGGGGCGGCGGCGGCTCGTGGAGTACTTCTTGACCACAGAGTGTGAAGTGATCAGCTGTTTTAGCGCAGTTCTCCAGTGAAGGGGGGGAGTCTCCCTCCGCAGCCGGTTGGCGTAGTTTTGGCACAATTCCGTTGTACAGACCGACGTTAACAGCAGCCCTGTCTGTGCACACGGAGACCGACTCTGTCGTCCGGTGATCTAACCGCCTTCTGGAAAAGCTTCACAAGCACGTCGGTACGCAAATGCGCTTTGAGACACAAGTGACGGTACGCATTTCAGATTACGCACATAACCTGCGTACCAGTTATGATGTGCACCCCTATACTACAGCAAAAGTATTCTCCGTCGGGACTTCCTGCAACAACACCACGCCGTTATCAAAGATGTTCTATTGAGAAGACGATCACTACGTGACAAAAGTTTTCAAAACCGTGGCTACTGAAATCCATCTTACTAACTGCTGTCTGTGCAATTTACTCCGCGCGAGTTGGCAGACTTTATTTTGCTTACTTTAACATCATTTTTCATGGTGGGGCTAAGCCATTTCTTGGTATGGGTGTAGCCTACCCCAGCCATACCCTGGCGCTGCCACTGGTATGGGGCGGGCCATTCTGCACATGCGTTAAATATTTTAACGCAATTAATTCAAAAAATTAATTACCGCCGTTAACGCGATAATTTTGACAGCACTAATAGAAACACATTCATTCTTAGCAGCAGGATGGTTTGATAACCAGAATAAAGAACCTCAGAAAGCACATTTTATATTTTTGTTTAAAAACATTTAGAAAATCATCGGTGAGCTGCAGTTTCATCACATTGTGTGAAGTCAGAATGATGTTCATTATTGTGTATAAAGTCAACAGTAAGTAGGTTGTGTAACGTATCTCCCTCTGGATCTCCCTTCACACACACACACACACACACACACACACACACACACACACACACACACACACACACACACACACACACACACACACAATGTATACATCACTTCAGGGGACATTACATGCATTTCCTGGAGACTTATCCTAACCATAACCAACACATGCCTAACTCTAACTCTTACCAAGTCTTCACCCTAAAATTAATGATTCCCCTCATGGGGACCTCCATTTTGTCCCCATGAGGGAAGCCAGTCCCCACACGTGACTGTGTAAACAGATTTAGGTCTCCACAAGTATAGTAATGCTAGGCCACACACACAGACACACAAACACACACACACAGTGAGAGAGAAGTGAAGTCTTTGGTGTTTTTAAGTCCCCGAAGAGTCCTTGCCCCCCAGGATCAGCTGTGAGGGTCTGAAGGGGAAGTCGACCCCCAAAGACCTCGTCTTCTCCTGGCAGCTCCTCAGCAGCTCGTCGTACTCCTGCAGGTCACATGGTTACTTCTCTCAGCTGACTGGGAATACTCTCATAACCTTTAAAGGTCTCCTATTATACTGTTCATCATCAATATATTACAGGTCTCAGATATATACAGAACCTGTCTCTGATTGGCTGAAACACCAAACAGATCATTGCAGCATTACCCATAATCCCCTCTGTTTCAGCCCTGTTTCCAAAGTGCTGATTCTCTGTCTGTTACTTTAGATGAAAATAAGGAGCCCCTCCCAACGCTGCTCTGAGAGACATTTGGTTACAAAGAACACATTGGTGCTCTAGGAGGAGATTACAGGTGATAAGGGGGGGGGGGTTACCTTGGTTGGTGATTGGCTAATGGTTACACAAGACAAAACATCATTGTGACATCATAAAGTGGCCAAAATCTGATCGGCTCATTTTCAGACAGGTTTTTATAGAAATGAATCAAAAAGAGAGAGAATCTTTGTTCCGGAAACTTTCAGAGTCTCTTTCCACAGAGGGGACACATGTTGATGTAGAAGAGACATGAAGAAGAGGGGACACATGTTGATGTAGAAGAGACATGAAGAAGAGGGGACACATGTTGATGAAGAAGAGACATGAAGAAGAGGGGACACATGTTGATGAAGAAGAGACATGAAGAAGAGGGGACACATGTTGATGTAGAAGAGACATGAAGAAGAGGGGACACATGTTGATGTAGAAGAGACATGAAGAAGAGGGGACACATGTTGATGAAGAAGAGACATAAGAAGAGGGGACACATGTTGATGAAGAAGAGACATGAAGAAGAGGGGACACATGTTGATGTAGAGGAGACATGAAGAAGAGGGGACACATGTTGATGTAGAAGAGACATGAAGAAGAGGGGACACATGTTGATGTAGAAGAGACATGAAGAAGAGGGGACACATGTTGATGAAGAAGAGACATGAAGAAGAGGGGACACATGTTGATGAAGAAGAGACATGAAGAAGAGGGGACACATGTTGATGTAGAAGAGACATGAAGAAGAGGGGACACATGTTGATGTAGAAGAGACATGAAGAAGAGGGGACACATGTTGATGAAGAAGAGACATGAAGAAGAGGGGACACATGTTGATGTAGAAGAGACATGAAGAAGAGGGGACACATGTTGATGTAGAAGAGACATGAAGAAGAGGGGACACATGTTGATGTAGAAGAGACATGAAGAAGAGGGGACACATGTTGATGTGGAAGAGACATGAAGAAGAGGGGACACATGTTGATGTAGAAGAGACATGAAGAAGAGGGGACACATGTTGATGTAGAAGAGACATGGAGAAGAGGGGACACATGTTGATGTAAGAAGAGACATGAAGAAGAGGGGACACATGTTGATGTAGAAGAGACATGAAGAAGAGGGGACACATGTTGATGTAGAAGAGACATGAAGAAGAGGGGACACATGTTGATGTAGAAGAGACATGGAGAAGTGGATTTTGCATAATAGGTTTAATAGCTTTAAATAAATGAAACCCTTTTGAGATAACTGACCTTACAATCCCGAGCCAAGCCTCCCTGAAGGTCATCGATGGTGACCTGTTTGGACTCCAATATATCCTGCAAGAAGAAATAACGTGCAGATGTTTCTACTTGAAGCTCGAATACAAATTTTCAAAGAAATTGATTACGAAAGAAGAGCGATTGCAGAACTAAAGTCAAAAACCATCAACATAATGAAACTTTAACTGGTGTCTTATCAGATGTGGGGCAAGTTTTAGAGAAGCGTTGACATAAATAGCAAATGGAAAGTGTGGATGTGAGCACATGAAGATCTGCACTTTTATTGAAATCAGGCAAGTCCAAAATCAAAGCTGCAAGTCTCACTGCATTGTATGAATTTAAAAGTTTTAATTTAAATGTAAATATATTACAGGTATATGTGTGATAAGTAGTGGAGTGCAGTTTTCCAAGTTTAGCAGTTACTCAAGAGTTAAGTCATTGTTCATATTAAGCTAACATGAAGACTTTAACTGTAAAAAGCTACTTTTTTGATAATAGCCTTTTTTTTTAATACATATTTCATGATTTTAACCTACATTTTTAATCAAGCATTTTGATGTTATTTGTTCTTATAAAATAAAATGACATAAGGTTGGACAAAACAAACAAGGAATGGTTGAAGTTTGTATCACTATTTTAAGGATTTTCATATTGCACGTGTTCTGTTTTTTTAATGCACGTTTTATCTCCTGCACAAATAAAACTGGTTCAAGATTCAAGGCTTGTGCACAGCTCCAGTTATGACAATGAAGATCTGAGGTCACAGGCTCCTCCAACAGTGCAACACAATACAACAGATTATAGTGCAATAAAATAAAATAGAATATAGTAGAAACAGTGCAGAATAGTCTATATACAAGTAATTGGAATATTGATATATATATATATATATATATATATATATAAGTTGCGGACAGATGGACGTTCTTTCAACAGTTCAGGTGTTCAACAGTCTTATGGCCTGTGGGATGAAACTGTCCCGGTGCAAATGAAACATGTTCATAACCTCGTACCTCCACTCTGTTCGCTGCGCTGCCCCCTGCAGTTTGTGTGACTTTAGAGGCTGCGAGAGCGGCGCAGAGCTGAGCTTCTTTCTTCTCCACAGTCTCTGTCAGCGCCGCCATCTTCCTCTCCAGCAGCAGCTGCTTCAGCCCGCTGCGCTGCTGCACGTCCAGGAGGGTCTGCGTCTGGTTCTGCAGGAGATCATCTCGCTCCTGCTGAACCTGCAGAGAAACACATTCACATGAATACCTACTGTAAAGCCCAGGGAGGACCAGAGAAAAGTACACACATCCTTTCCTCAAGTAGAAGTACAAATACTTGTGTTTAAATACTCTGGTGAAAGTAGAAGTACTGACTAAACTTCTTTACTCAAGTAGAAGTATGGGCTTTGAAATGTCCTTCAGTAAAAAGTACCCATAACTCCCAGCTGTTTTAAAGAGTACCTGACCTCCCTTTATATTAATAGAACAATAATGTCATTGTTAGCTAATGAATGTTTCCATGCCGACCAACGGCAACATGACAACGTTTCCATTGGTCCCTCTTCTTTAGAGAAGACCAGGAAATGATGGATACACGGATCGTGTTCAAATCAATAGGCACGCAATGACTCTAAAGAATAATGATCACGCATCAAACACACATTCAGACTAAAGGAACCAGCTGTTTGGAAAATGTGAGAAGTAGAAAGTACAGGTATTTGAGTTCAACATGTAAGAAGTAGAAAGTACAGGTATTTGGGTTCAACATGTGAGAAGTAGAAAGTACAGGTATTTGGGTTCAAAATGTAAGAAGTAGAAAGTACAGGTATTTGTGTTCAACATGTAAGAAGTAGAAAGTACAGGTATTTGAGTTCAACATGTGAGAAGTAGAAAGTACAGGTATTGGGTTCAACATGTAAGAAGTAGAAAGTACAGGTATTTGAGTTCAACATGTAAGAAGTAGAAAGTACAGGTATTTGAGTTCAACATGTGAGAAGTAGAAAGTACAGGTATTTGGGTTCAACATGTGAGAAGTAGAAAGTACAGGTATTTGAGTTCAACATGTAAGAAGTAGAAAGTACAGGTATTTGGGTTCAACATGTAAGAAGTAGAAAGTACAGGTATTTGGGTTCAACATGTAAGAAGTAGAAAGTACAGGTATTTGGGTTCAACATGTGAGAAGTAGAAAGTACAGGTATTTGTGTTCAACATGTAAGAAGTAGAAAGTACAGGTATTTGAGTTCAACATGTAAGAAGTAGAAAGTACAGGTATTTGGTTCAACATGTAAGAAGTAGAAAGTACAGGTATTTGGGTTCAACATGTAAGAAGTAGAAGTACAGGTATTTGGGTTCAACATGTAAGAAGTAGAAAGTACAGGTATTTGTGTTCAACATGTGAGAAGTAGAAAGTACAGGTATTTGTGTTCAACATGTAAGAAGTAGAAAGTACAGGTATTTGAGTTCAACATGTGAAAAGTAGAAAGTACAGGTATTTGAGTTCAACATGTAAGAAGTAGAAAGTACAGGTATTTGAGTTCAACATGTAAGAAGTAGAAAGTACAGGTATTTGGGTTCAACATGTAAGAAGTAGAAAGTACAGGTATTTGTGTTCAACATGTAAGAAGTAGAAAGTACAGGTATTTGAGTTCAACATGTAAGAAGTAGAAAGTACAGGTATTTGTGTTCAACATGTAAGAAGTAGAAAGTACAGGTATTTGTGTTCAACATGTGAGAAGTAGAAAGTACAGGTATTTGTGTTCAACATGTAAGAAGTAGAAAGTACAGGTATTTGAGTTCAACATGTGAAAAGTAGAAAGTACAGGTATTTGAGTTCAACATGTAAGAAGTAGAAAGTACAGGTATTTGAGTTCAACATGTAAGAAGTAGAAAGTACAGGTATTTGGGTTCAACATGTAAGAAGTAGAAAGTACAGGTATTTGGGTTCAACATGTAAGAAGTAGAAAGTACAGGTATTTGTGTTCAACATGTAAGAAGTAGAAAGTACAGGTATTTGTGTTCAACATGTGAGAAGTAGAAAGTACAGGTATTTGTGTTCAACATGTAAGAAGTAGAAAGTACAGGTATTTGAGTTCAACATGTGAAAAGTAGAAAGTACAGGTATTTGAGTTCAACATGTAAGAAGTAGAAAGTACAGGTATTTGAGTTCAACATGTAAGAAGTAGAAAGTACAGGTATTTGGGTTCAACATGTAAGAAGTAGAAAGTACAGGTATTTGTGTTCAACATGTAAGAAGTAGAAAGTACAGGTATTTGTGTTCAACATGTGAGAAGTAGAAAGTACAGGTATTTGTGTTCAACATGTAAGAAGTAGAAAGTACAGGTATTTGAGTTCAACATGTGAAAAGTAGAAAGTACAGGTATTTGAGTTCAACATGTAAGAAGTAGAAAGTACAGGTATTTGGGTTCAACATGTATGAAGTAGAAAGTACAGGTATTTGTGTTCAACATGTAAGAAGTAGAAAGTACAGGTATTTGAGTTCAACATGTAAGAAGTAGAAAGTACAGGTATTTGTGTTAGAAATTTAAGAAGTAGAAAGTACAGGTATTTGAGTTCAAAATGTAAGAAGTAGAAAGTACAGGTATTTGTGTTCAACATGTATGAAGTAGAAAGTACAGGTATTTGTGTTCAACATGTAAGAAGTAGAAAGTACAGGTATTTGAGTTCAACATGTATGAAGTAGAAAGTACAGGTATTTGAGTTCAACATGTATGAAGTAGAAAGTACAGGTGTTTGAGTTCAACATGTATGAAGTAGAAAGTACAGGTATTTGGGTTCAACATGTATGAAGTCAAAGTAAAAAGTCGTCAGAAAAATAAGTAGTGGAGTAAAGTACTGATACCAGAAAAAAGTACTTAAGTACAGTAACGAAGTATTTGTACTCCACTACTTCCCACCTCTGGGGATGAAGGTAGATCATGTGATGTTTACCTTTTCGAAGGCCTGCAGCAGCAGCTCGTGCTCCACGGTCAGATCTCTGAGCTCCTGATCCATGAGCTTCACTCGAGCTCGACTCGCCTGGCAGACACAGAACAAGAATCAGCTTTATTGGCCAAGTATGCGTCCAAATACAAGGAGAATCACTCCAGTCTGAGTTGCTCCTAGTGTAATTACACGGAAATACCCATACAGCTAAAACAACAAAACTCAAAGGTAAAAAAAAAGAGTCAAATCATAATTCTGACTCAAATCCCAGAATAACTTTTGGTCAGATCTCAATTTAGTTTTTTGTACATTTGGCCCTAATCCTCTTCCGTAAATAGCTATTTTCTCCTCCAAACAAGTGTCTCATGATAAATCCAATTCATATGTAGGATTAAAACATTCTGCCTAATAGTGACCCCTAGTGTTAAAATGAAAACAATGTCGCCCTTTCCTTGTGTCTTTAAATGTAACCTGTTGATGTGGAAACTGATGGACAAATGTATAAAATGCAATAAATATCCAAGTCATTTTCATCATCTCAAAATGTGTACCAACACTGAATGAGCTCCACCTTACATTCAACATGTATGTACCTAAGATAAGAGAGTGGTGTGCAATGTGTCGTGATGCTTTCTGAGCTGTGAACGCACCACCATCTTGTTCTTGGCCTGCTGGTCCTCCTGCAGCTGTCGGTGCAGAGCGGGCAGCGTCTGCTCGGCTTCCTGCAGAGCGTCGCTCAGCTTCCTGTTCTCCTGCTGCGCTGAGGAGAGGTCTTTGTCGGATCGAACCTGAAGCTTCGTCACCTCCGCAAGTTCCTCCTACAGAACAACAAGCAGACCATGTGGCGCAGAAAACAAGAGACACCGAGTTCTTGAACATCATTTGATATGTTGAAAAATGCTTAATATCCCAACCTAAATACATTAAAAATGTGTATTTGATTATTTGTTTGTATCAAATTGTTGTGTGTAGCTTCAGGGATTTTTTTATACCAATCTTATTTAAATATGGAGAAATATGTCCTAAGACACTGATTGGCTTAAATAGATTAAAGTGGTTAAAATAAATTCAATAAAAGTGTGCACAAATTCACCAATTCCTCTGTAATAAAAGTATATATCAGGGTACATGCAGGAATCCTGAAGTCAAATGTAAAACCTTTTAAGACCCTTTCCATACATTTTAAGACCTCATCGCCACTTTGAGTTTTAACCGGTTACCTTGGCGACACACTTTACCTCACATTGACTATATACAGTATTGATTGTCCTTCCTCCTTATCTTCCAACCATTTGGACGCAGACTTGCATTTCCCCATAACGATGTTGTTTAACAACCGGCGTAAACGGACCTTCGCGCGCTATCAAGCAGTGAGCGCGCGATGTCCTGTTCAGATGACGTCACATCCAACGGGATGCCATCAATAAACTACACAGAATCACACTACACACCTACGCAATGATTACATTCAGGCACACTGTAGAATACAACCTCTTTGGACCATTTATATACTTATTGAAAACAAGCTACAAAATGTAAGACCTTGGAAAATGCCGTTTTATACTTTTTAATAAATCAATTTAGCGAAAATTAAGGCTATCAACTTTTAATACTTTTTAAGACCCCATGGACACCCTGATATAGAATATATAAAAATAGAAATAATGAATTGCTACTCTAGAAAGAACATGTATACATTTGTAAGATCTTTGTGAAACAATTAAAATACAAAAAATCTACAAGTAAAACACAGATTCATTTAAATTTAGCTCGACAAAATATTTGGCAAAAGCATTAGCACATTTTATTTTGTAGGTAGAACAATAATTGAATTCTGTGAACCCTCCACCGCTTCACATTCATGGCATTAGATCCTGTAAAAATACGTATTCTGAAGTAACGTCTCTTACCTTCAGCAGCTTCTGATCCCCCATCAGTTTGCTCTGAACAGCAGAGTAGTACTCCTCTGCTCCTCTGAGAGCTCGCTCCTGGTCCTCCATCAGAGCCACAACACGACTCTTCATCCGGTCCTCCACCTCTAAAACCTCCGCACGCCGCCTCTTACCCTCCGCTTGGATCATCGCCTCGGTTTTCTTGTGGTATTTCACCTCAATATCTATTTAAATAGCAACAGAAGGAAATGTTTAATACAGTTTAAAAAGGTTGTTTTTTAAATTAAAGTCAGAAATGTAGTTTGGTTACCTCTGAATCTTTTGTCGAAGGTGTTTGTCAGCTCCATCAACTCCACCTGGTGTTTCTGTTGAGAAGCAAAAGGCAACAGAGATGCTCACTCGTAGAAATAAACAAAACACAGTAAAATACACTTTTTCACCAATGACTTCACCAATGACTTCTCCATGACTTCTCCATGACTTCTCCATGACTTCTCCATGACCTTTACCTAATTTTCCATGACCAAAGAAATGACTCTTTCTCAGCGGTACCACTGAAAATGGTTTATTTGAACATGGAACAGGAAAATAAGGTCTGCATATGAAACATGTTGTGCCTATCTAAAACAAATAACGTAGATCAAATAGTAGGCTTACTACGTAGCTCCGACAGGCTGAAGCCACTGTAGACTAGAGGGCGTGATTGTAAACATCTCTCATCAGCGAAATACCGTGACGGTGAAATGCCATTTTACGTTTCATTACTACAGTATGTATTATCATTATAGTATTACTATTTTGGCGATTAGATAAAATATAAATTATATTTGATGCAACTTTAGTTATATTTCCATAACTTTTCCAGGGCCTGGAATTTACATTTTGAATTTCCATAACTTTTCCAGGGCCTGGAATTTACATTTTGAATTTCCATGACTTTTCCAGGTTTTCAATGACCGTAAGAACCCTGTATATAACATACATGGAGATGTACATAGAAATCACACCCGCCTCAGTTTACAGTCCACTCAAATCTACACGTTATTGCTCACACACACACACACACACACACACACACACACACACACACACACACACACACACACACACACACACACACACACACACACACACACACACACACACACACACACACACACACACACATTACCCCTTTCCTTCCAAGTCTTGGCAAAGTATACATAGATACAGACAATCATTTAAATTTTCCTGGGTAGTCGATACAGACAGGTATGCTTACAAATCCGAAACAGGTGCTAGTTAAAAATAACTATAATTTTAATATAAATTAAATATAAGTTAAAAATTAAATATAAAAGAAAATAATACCCAAACAAAAATGATATGTAAATAAAATAAATACAGGAAAAAATTCAAATAAACATGTGACCATTTTATAATATGTTTCTTAATGCTCTTAATGTCTTTCATTTTTGCAAAGCACTTTGAATTGCCTTGTGTTGAAAGGTGCTATATAAATAAACTTGCCTTGCCTTGTAAAAATGTCCCTAGTCTCACCAGTTTGAGCTCCTTGATGCAGTTCTCGTTGTGGAGCTTCTTCTCCCAGAAGTCCCCCTGCTGGCCGTGTGTTTCTCTCCTCAGCCCGAGCTCCTTCTCAGCGCTCTGCAGCCGGATGAGTCCGCTCGAGGAGACGCCGTCGATCTTCAGCCCAGAGACGGTGTTGTGTTGCTCAGACAGGACGTGCTTCAGCTTCTGCTTGTACACCTGAACACCAGCAAGGAGTTCATATATTGATCAACCCATCAACTGTGATTTATGAAAAAAGGACTCAAATTAATCAGTTAAATCATATAGTGATGGTGTGAGCATGATCTGTCATTTCTTCAATAAAAAAGTTATGTTAATGGTTAATATATTTATTTTTTAACCACTTGATCAAATCAAATATTTATTATAACGTCAGAATTCAACAGTACATGATGCCCCATAAAAATAAAGAATGTTTGAAAGAATATTTCGGAAGTCGCAGTAAAAATTGTGGGTGAATATAAAAGTCTTTAAATGTCCCCTTTGTTTTGTTTTCTCTAATCCTGTGTGTGTGTGCGTGTGTGTGTGTGTGTGTGTGTGTGTGTGTGTGTGTGTGTGTGTGTGTGTGTGTGTGTGTGTGTGTGTGTGTGTGTGTGTGTGTGTGTGTGTGTGTGTGTGTGTGTGTGTGTGTGTGTGTGTGTGTGTGTCTCACAGTGATCTCCACCCGGTGGCGCTCCTCCGCCTCCTCCCTCTCCCTCCGTCTGTTCCTCAGCTCGGCATTCGTCTCCTCCAGGCTCCTCTTGGAGATTTCCCAGAATGCCTGGATCTTGTCCCTCTCCAGCTGGAAGTAGCTCCTCTCCTCCCGCTCTCTGTCCAGCTCCTCTCGCAGGCGGATGATGTGCTCCTCCAGCTGTACAGAAGATGTGTGTAAAGAGCTGGACAATAAATGCTCCTGTACAGGCCTACTCAAAGCCATTTTGTTTTCTTTAGTTAAATAAGGCAGAAAGTTACCGTGTGCCAAGCATGTTTTTTTGTTGTGCTCCAGCAGATTTCAACCGGATTTTTAGATTTGGCAAATAATTGGTCATTTTGTTTCCTCATAATCACAGTGATAACAGAGGCTACAATAAAGTAAAAAATACATTTGTTTTAAACTTCTTTTTTTTTTTAAGATAATATGTTTGGCGCCATGTTCAAGGATTCAAGGATTCAAGGCTTTTATGGTCATGTGTGCATAGCTACAGTGTTACAGTGTAGGGACCTTTAGTCCCCCGATGCTCCTACATTTATTTTAGGAGATTGTAATCACTGTCAGGTGCATAAGACCTTAAAAACATACGAGCAGTATGTCACATGTCCTACAACTTTAAATAAATCCACTATTGACTTATGTTACGGCACGGTGCCTGGTGCGTTCAAGTCCCTGACCATGCCCCCTTTTGGAGCTTCATACCACAAGAGCGTTCTTCTGGTGCCGATCTACAAACCCATCTGCAGGAAACAAGTGTGCACAAAAAAAACTGTGAAATGTTGGACAGAGGAAAGCATTGCCACCTTACAGGCATGTTGGGACTGCACGGATTGGGATGTGTTTTATAGCTCATGCTCTGATCTCAATGAACTGACGTCAACTGTCTCATCCTACATATCATTTTGTGTGGAGTCTAACATTCCTTGTAAAGACATTACCGTCTTCCCTAATAATAAGCCGTGGGTCACGAAGGAACTAAAGAGTATTATAAATAGAAAGAAACGTATATTTTATACTGGAAACAGTCAGGACAAAAAATAAATTAACAGAGAATTAAGAAATGAGATAAGAAAAGCTAAAATAGCTTATAAGGTGGAACTCAAATACAGCAGTGGAGATCTTCGGGAAGCCTGGAGGGGAATCAAATCAATGTCCTCCATCTCCCAGGGTAACAACAATGACAGGGCTAGGACTACAATTAACATTGAGGGAACAAATGAGGCAGACCTCCCCAATGCTTTTAACATTTTTTATTCTCGATTCGAGAAAAATGATTTCTCCATACACCTCAACCCTTAGAGAGTCTCTCTCACCTATCTCAGACATAGTCATTGAACAGGATGATGTTAGGAATCTCTTAAAACGAGTCAATATTAGGAAGGCCCCAGGTCCTGACCATATTTGTGGGCGGACACTCCAGTATTGTGCTAGCGAACTCTGTGGTGTTTTCCAGCATATCTTCCAATTGTCACTTGAGAATAGCCAAATTCTTGATATGTGGAAATCCTCAACTGTAATTCCCATCCCTAAGAAGCCTCATCCTAAAGTCCTAAACGACTTCAGACCGGTGGCTTTAACGTCATTGGTAATGAAAATGTTTGAAAAAATTGTTAAAGGCCTTGTCATGTCAGTAATAGGTGGTGAACTTGATCCACTACAATTTGCGTATCAGGCAGGGAGAGGCGTAGAGGATGCAAAGCTTTGTATACTGCACACCCTCCACAAACACCTTGAAAAGCCACAAGCCCATGCCAGGCTTTTGTTTGCTGACTTTTCTTCAGCATTTAACACAATGCAGCCGCATCTCCTGGTAGAGAGCCTATTATGTCATTTTAAACTGCCCGATCAACTTGTTTTATGGATTTTAAACTTTCTAACTAATAGAGAGCAGAAGGTGTTTGTCAATGGACAACTCTCTGACTCTGTCATCACTTCCACGGGCTCGCCTCAAGGATGCGTTCTTTCGCCCCTACTTTTTATAATGTACACTGATAAATGCAGGAGCATGCAAGACAACAGCTACCTGGTTAAATTCTCTGACGATACCGCCCTCTTGTCCCTCCTTAGCGGCTCAGAATCAGAGTGTGCTCTTGCCAATTTTATTTCCTGGTGTGATGACAGTTTTCTGGATTTAAATGTCTCCAAAACCCAGGAATTGATCATTGATTTTAGACGTCACAAGAATGTTCCTAAGGAGTGCATCATACACAATGACAAGGTAGAAATTGTCACATCATACAAATACTTGGGCACCATTTTCGATGACCACCTCAAATTTGATGTGAATACTGAGTGTGTTGTGAAGCGGGGTCAACAGAGAATGCACCTTCTTCGCAAACTGAACTCTTTCTCTGTCAGGCCTTTCATTCTTTGTCGTTTTTACCAAGCATTGAGAGCCTTATTTGTTTTTCTTTTATCTGCTGGTTCCATAGCCTTACACTGAAAGACAGGAACAGCCTGAACAGCATTGTTAAAACCTGCTCCAAGATCATCGGCGTGAAACAGAGAGACTTAAATTCCTCCTGTAACCAGCAGATTCTGCGGAAAGCAGAGAGCATTCTGAACTCTCCAGGTCGTGTTCTTTCACATGAATTCCGTCTGTTGCCATCAGGGCGAAGATATGCTCTACCTGCTCAAAGGACTAATCGCTTTTCTAAATCATTCATCCCTTCTGCACTCAAACTTTTAAATTCTTGAAAAGGCTTTTAACTTGATTATTTATTTATTTATTTATTTATTGTTGTGATGCTTTGAACTATTTATAGTGTAAATTAGAATTATTCACATCTGTGCTCCTGGGTGTATCTGTGTGCTTTCTTCTTGTATGTTCCTGCCTGTGTTCATGACATAAGCTGCTGCTCATAACCAATTGCCCCTTGCGGGATTAATAAAGTTGTTGATTGATTGATTGATTGATTGGTTATGACAATGAAAATCTTAGGTCACAGGCTCCTCCAACAGTGCAACACAATAAAACTGATACAATAGTGCAAGTAAATAAAATAAAATAGAATATAGTAGAAATAGTGCAGAATAGTCTATACGTCATTGGAATATTGATATATTGGTTTTAGATCATATTGATTGTATTGATGGTATATATGATACCATCAATACAATCAATACGAGATGAGACGTATTGATTTGTTCTGGCAGGAAGCTTTGGAGAGGAGTTGGAAAGCATTCATGCTTCACCAATGAATGCAATGAATGATGCAGTGAGATCATATTCATGTAGGTGTACAGTGCAGCCACTATTACCTGCTACTCTCTATTACTTTGCTGAAACAACTGTGCCAACACTGTTTGCTCCCCATCTCTTCCTTATGTGTTATATATTCGGTATCCAACATAAGATTTAAGAAAAGGGAGAATTTTACTGCACAGTTTCTAACTTTAATTTGTTTTCATACTTGTACATTTTGTTAAAATACTTTTTCTTGTAATGGAATATTTTCCAGTGAGGCATTAGCGCTTAAATTCAAATAAAGGATCATTATGTCTTACAACACTGGGGACAACATGTATAAAAAAGGCAATATAAGCATTTAAGATAAGATAAGATGTACTTATTTGTAGTGTGTGAACAAGGCATTGCACATAATGTGAAAATGAAAAAGAGTACAAAATAAACAAATATAAAATAAAACAGAACTGAAGTGTTAAAATATATACATATTGACAGAGAAAGATAATAATCTGTAAACTATGAAGGGCTAATTACAGTTTACAACATGTTAAAGTAGGATATTATTTACATTAAGTGTGCAAGGAATAGCATAATAAATTAAATATACATTTAAAAAGGTACAGTGTGATGAATATATAAATACCCTCAAATAAAATTGTCAGCACTTCAACCCCACAGTCAGTGTTCATATCAAACCCAATTTACTAAAGTAAAGAAGATTAACAACAAAACATGTCTCTGAACCTCAAATACAATGTGATGTAGTAAAAACGATAACACAGTGTTATATATAGTAGCATATAGCTTTGAGGCTAATGCTAGTTATCTGTGTTAGCTGTGTAAGCTGTAGTAGCATCGCAGCTCTCACCTGATCTTTAGACATTTCATCCGTGGAAAGACCGTCCACCACGGCCGAGGACTTCCCCTTCACGACCTTTTTGCTTTTAGTCTTTGGGGGCTGTAAAGAAAACACATGCACATTTCAGCTCCATGTCTAAAACACGCTAACAGTTATCTGACCTGTAGCTTAGCTTACAGTCTCCAAACGATCCGGTATCTGGCTCATGCTAACCTAACACATGCTTATTGCACTCAACAACAACACTGCTGATTAAAAGGAGTTTACTCACCATCGTGAAATACAGTACAGGCTAACAAATGGGGGAAATAACGCTAAAGACAGGAGTTAGCCCGTTAGCCTGTAAACTAGCCGAGCTACAGTTGGAGTCCTCGGCTACATGTAAACAAAAGGCGTTGTCATGGCAACATCGTTTTCCCCCTTCGCTTCTTCCTCTTCTGTTGAAAGTCTGCAGCCCGCACAGGTGTCTCCTCTTGACGACTGGATTATTAGCACATTTAAAGAACACTCTTAATATATCTCTGTATAAAATAAAAAATAAATATAAACAAATCAAAAATGTTTACAAGGTTCATTTATTGTCATTGATTCCACAACACAAAACAGCTTTCCTGATGAATTGTCCTTTACATCTTTCCTTAACCTCTTCACGTTTTTCATCTAGACTCAGGGAAGTGGTTAGGAAAAGACATAGGACCTGTCTCTTTAAACTTCCTTCCTGAAAACAACTGATAGCTGTGATGGGTTTTAAGGATAAATGTGGCACTCCTTTGCTTATGAGCCTGCATATGACATTTAAAGGGGTTTCCAAATATCAGTTGCTTGTTGATTCTCATCTTTTATATTCAGGCATCAAACAAAAAAACATTTTGACACTCTACAGATTCCTGTAAAAAGTCCCCTTCTTAGAAAACACAGCGGTATTTGGGTGTTTTTCACACGGCTGGAGAGGTGTGGTGACCCGCTTCATGTACAGGCTGAATTTACCAGAAGTTTATTCGCTGAGATTTCCTGTGTGAAGTGGAAATTGGGCGAGGTGATACACACACTCCTCCCTGCTGCCTCCTTCAGCTGCTGGTGTGTTCACACTGTTGTACTTGTTATTATTGTAATGTGTAGTTGGTGTTTCAATGCTTGTCCAGTAATAAGGACTTCCACCATAAGGCTCCCTCCCAGGCTGATGCTCACTATCTTTAATCTCCTCGTAGATCCTCTCAGGTTCAGCTTCGTCCTCGTTGGGATTTCTCTCTTCTCTGTTTTTGGAGAAGTGTCTCAGGGTTATGATCCCCAGAAGCACCAAAGCAGCACCAACCACTACACCAACAGGTACTTTCCAAAAGTCAGATCGTGGTTGGTTCTCTGGTTCTGCAGTGGTTCCCTCCTGTCCTGAGTCAACACCCAGTCCCTTGTTTCTCTGAGTGACTATTTTATATCCAGCTTCAGGATCCACCATGTTAGGATCCTTCATTACTTCGAGATATATCCGGACTTTATTACAAAAATACATTTTTTCAAGATCAGGTGTAACATTTTCTATCACCAGTGAATTATCTGATCCGGAACCAAAGCGCCTGTCAATGATGTTCACTTTGCCATTTTCTATAGTGACAAGAGGCAGAGTTTTACCATTACCATCCATATGCCAACTCCATGTTACATCCCCTTTCTTATGAGGACAGGGCAGTGTTGCCTTCATGCCCGTCTGCACTGTTATTTTTTGAGGAACAGCTGAAAAGCAAAAAGCAGAAAGTAGTTAAACATTTGTGGTAAACTTTTCTGTCAATCACATACAGTATGTACCTCGTGTAGTTTGTTATCTTCAGCGGGACAACAACAGCCATGACAAGCAGACAATTGGTAAGATAAGATGGTTTGATTGATTGATGATTTGCTCATGGTGGTTTTATTAAAAAATATCAACTACTGATTGAAAGAATAAAAACATAAACCTTAGACAAAAAGTGAAAAAGTTTTCCATGCTTAATTCTCCGAAACTTTTCAGTGACTTCAAGGAAACCAGAGCCCAGTCTGCTCTGATTGATAAATGAAAACAAGGCAAAAGCCAGAACTCCAAATGTATGAATATTTTAATAGAAACCTGTTAAAAATAGATCTTCTTACCTGTATAGCTGATAGAGAAGCATGCAGCAAGCAGCAGGAAGTAGAGACAAAGCAGCATCTCTGCAGCTGGTGAACTCTGTTGTGTCACATACGACTTACATATAGTATTTTTAATCTCTGAGGAAGTTATGAGTAATATGGCTGTGGTTGGAAAAGGTCTTGAGTGATTGGCTGTTTTATACCGTGGGGAGTTTCTCTGCACAGGTTGAAATAAATCAGATCTTTAAACGACTATTTTTTTGTCACTGTGAGAACTCCCAGATGCATTCACCAGATATTTGATCAGTCATCCAGAGGGACTTTTTTATATTACTCATTTCTTCTTTGGGTTTTTCTCTGCAAAGAGAGACAGGACACCTGCTGCTGAAATATGTAATACATTGATTTGCACCATTTCTCTTTCACTCAATTTGATTGATTAGATCTACTGTTAGTACAAAAACACCAAGACAAATTCCTCGTATTTGTGAACCTACTTGGCAATAAACCCGATTCTGATATTTTATTCTGTGGATCAGAATCAGAATCAGAAACGGGTGTATTACCAGGTATCAGAGATGGAGTACTGGAGCCGGACTCGGACTCGTGTCGGACTCGAGTGCCGATTTTCGGGACTCGTTGTAGAGGAAACTTCTGTGTAGCTATGCAGTGGGAGTCACCGACTCAGGAAGGAGACACGGTAGGAGCAGTAGCTTTGATGTCAAACACATGATGGTTTATTTGGAGTTACGGCCGGAGGATTCACATCACAAGTCCAAGAGTCAGAGGTTCTGACTCCACGGTAGAATTGCCACGTCAATTCTGGAGAGCCTCTCTCTTGCCAGCCCATCTAACTGGTTTCGCAGAGAGTAAACCACATATTTGAGAAGATAGCCTAAACAGTGTGGGAACACTGAGCTACTTGCGTCGGACACTTATGGCCTCGAAGATTTTACCTTGGAGTCCACAAATACAGAGAAGGAAGTGTCCCAGTGTACCCACAACACAGACCATCTGTGACCCAGTATTGACCGGTCACAGAATGGGAACAATAACATTATTGGCTAAGCAGCCTGTGTCCTTAAAGAAGGTAACAGACATCAAGGTTTGTCCTGTATGTCACATCTTGGCGTCTATGACAATTATTTCCATAACACTCGTGACTCGACTCGCGCACTGATTGACGCGACTCGGACTTGGACTCGTGAATTCTCGTGCACGATGACTTGGACTCGGACTCGTGAATTCTCGAGTACGATGACTTGGACTCAGACTCGTGAGTTTCCCCCCCCCCCCCCCCCACGATGACTCGGACTCGACTTGTGCATTGACGCTCCGACTTGGACTCAGTGGCAGAGCCAGGACATTTTCAGTGGGGTGGCCAGGATGGAACCAGTGATCATTTTGGGGTGGCATTGAAATCACTATTATATTAACTTAAACATATATCACCTACAACACACCTCTACATTATTTGGGATTAAGCTAGTAGTGGAATAGATCAAATAATATTCAGTATATCTAACTATTTTTTTATTATTCCCACAGGCAAAGTATCAATGAAGCTTACATTATACAAATGTAGTGCAATATACAGACTGTTTACCTTATGGTGATCAGAGCTCATTCTCTCAGTGTATCATCAGGAATACAGAGACACACACACATCATTTACATAAGAGTTTTTAAATTAAATGATTGGTTAAGAATAAACGTCTTGAAGTAAATAACAATAAACAATAGCCCTTAACCATGTAAGGCCCCCGGTTGTAATTTTACAACATTACTTTAAGCTATCCAAAAAAGTCAGTAAATGTTTTTGTTTTTTTAAAAGACTACATTTACATAGTCAAAAGGTCCTTTCTAGGTGACTCAGACTCGACTCGGACACTCCTTGGGTGACTCGGACTTGGAGTCGACTACGACTCTCCCTTGGTGACTCGGACTCGGACTCGAACAGTGGTGACTCGAGAGTGACTTGGACTCGTGAATTGGTGACTTGACTACAACACTGCCAGGTTCACACATACGAGGAATTTGACTTGGTGTCGTGGTGCATAAATAAAAATAAAAACAACAACAACAATTCAAAATTCAGGAAATGCTGTTCTTTATTCCAGAAAATAGTAGTACAACACATCGCCTACCCTAGTTGATTAAATAAAATATATTATTTACACTCTGCAGTTGTTAATTAGCTCAGATGCTTCTAGGACTTGGTGGTGTTGGGCGGCTGGCCGATCTGCCACAGATCCGCAAACGACACGTTGGCCGAGCCTCGCTTCGCTGGTTTGGCCTGAAAAAGAGAAACAAACAAAAAAAATGTAAACAATTAAATCACTTTTCTTGACAACATATCTCCTCTGCTCATGCATCTGATGGATAAGACACAGCAGCGATTGTTTCTGTTAAAGGTGCGTACCTTTTCGGGTTATTTGGAATACACAGTATATATATAACATATATATATATATGAGTCAATACAAAAATTAAGGAATATCATAATCATGCATACACGGTTTGATAAAGACAGTTGAACTCTGGGAATTGTAGTACAAAAACACCACAACAGTCAAATTAGGGATAAAGTGATCACATGTTTCTGTCCGATAGCGATACTCTATGCCAGGGGTGTCAAACTCAAATACACAGAGGGTTCAATGTTTATTGCAGAACTTAATGAAATGAACTTATTTCACATATTAAACCTGGAACTAACAAAGCTTAAATGATTGCCTATAAAAACAACATTAAATATTAAATAATCAGTTGCATTCATTTCTTATGGCCGTTATTTCTTCTAATCCTTGGCTGCTCCTGGTCTCGGACGCCTAGCAGGCTCATAATTATAATCATATGCATTCGAAGATTTTCAACCTCTACTGTGTCAAAACTAGCATTGTGTCCCATGTTTATTCATACGTTAGACCGCCGCTCTCCCCCATGTTACGTCACACGCGGGAGGTCACGTGGGGAGGCTTTTTGTATGCGGAAGTAAACATGTCTTACAAAACGACGCCAGATGTCACTGTAGCGTATATTTCTGTATACTTTTTTGAAAATCTACATTATTTTCCTACACATTTATTCACTGGTGTGTCTAACCTGCAAGTTGCTCTTTAACCCGTTTAACCCAGAGCCATAAGATTTCTCTGTGCGCGTTTTCCCTCCTTTGTCCCACTTCGCTTTCCTTACTAACAAGGGCGGGAACATATAAAGGGCACAGAAGAGGTGCATGCTGGGAAAACGCGTGAAGTGGAAGACCAGAGAGGTATGGCTGCAGTTTTATGATTATTGTTGTTTATAAACGATGTTTCAAACACATTTATCATTATATTGTTACATATACATGCTCAGTGTTATGTGTATTTGTCAGCTGCTGTCTGGTTTTCCCGCCATTACTGTTCATATTCAGTGTTTCGGACATATTGTTTACATGTTGACTGAAACTGAATTTACAGCGCTGAGCGAACAATCCTCCGTGTTTGAACCTCTTAAATCGCTGCATAGCAGATTTATTTGGACTGGATTATCCCAGAGTCTAACGATTCTTTATAACACAGTTTCAGATTTGTGAAACCTTAATTCTATTTGTGAAAAGAATCCAGTCACAGCTTCAGTAATACCTAATGACTGTTTTAACCGTTATCAGTGGTTTAAATACATTTAGTTAAGTACTACACTTTAGTAATGAATGTGTTCTTTACTAGTGTTGCATGCATACTGTTATATATGATACTGATTTGGGCAAAACAAGTACTCTTACTTCAGTTATTTAAAGTATATTTGAATGCAGGATTTCACCTGTAACAAACCATTTTTACACTGTGGTATTGCTACTTTTATTTAGGTTAATCTGAATTCAGTGTGCGAAAAAGTGCACGTCCCACCGTCCGGGACGGGTTATTCACAACATTGGACAAGTAGATTTTTAAATTGACTTGTCCAATGGACAAGTGACATTTTTCGCCGCTATTTATTGACAAATTATTGATAAATTCAGCTTACAAAAGGCATAACTCATTCGCAAATTGTCCGTGTCCGCCGTTGTTGTTTGCAACCGCTTTACGTTTTTTTACTCACTTACGTCGTGTCGTAAAACTGTGTGAAAATGAAATACGATGGCGAAGAAGAAGGTTCTAGTGGCCCCAAGAGGGCAACAAAAGATTTCTTTCTTTTCTAAGAAGGTTTGTACACATCATTCTCACAGTTGTAAAATGGTGTGTTACATTAACAAGGAAAATAATTGAAATAAATTATGTCCGAAAATAGTGGATTAAGTGCTTGAAAGGGGACTTTTATTAATCCATTACATTACATTGCATTTAGCTGACACTTTTATCCAAAGCGATTTACAATCCCTGTGGGGAAATTCAGTAGGCAACAGGGTAAGGGTGAAAAACAGGACAGCACAGATTCACACAGGTTCATCAAATCAAAAATAAAATCGAAGATAAAAATAAAAATAATGAAAAACTATTAAATAAGAAATTAATAAAAATAATAATAAAAAAGGGGTAGACCTATGTAAAATACTTTTTTCTTTTAAAAGGGGGGGATTGAAAGGGGCTCTTTATGTACCAAGGGGCTTGAAAGGGAAATATCAAATTATTTCAGAAAAAAAACCCAAAAAATGCAGAAAGGTTTGTGGGGAGTCTACGAGTACCTAACATTCATGTTGACAAAAATCTATAATTTGTCTGCAAGAACAGGAGTCTGAACAACAGCCTGAACATGCTGAAACGAGCCCTCAGAAAGTCCCAGAGTGTGAGCAGAACGATGGCCCCCCCAGTCACGAGAAAGTCTCTGCTAAAAGGCCATGTTCCGTTATCTCACCAATGGCTGGTCCATCTAAAAAGGCCAAGAGTGACATCGCCCTGACACCCAAGAGGAAAAGAACATTCATTGAGACTTGGAAAACCCAGTTTCCATGGGTAAGATGTGTGGACGACATCATGTTCTGTGAGGTCTGCAGAGAATATCCATCCATTGCTGACCACAGCAGTAAACTGTACGAGGGTGTCACAGGGTCAAAACGCATTGAGACACTTCAGTCACACGAATCCAGCAAATATCACCTTCTCTGCATTCAAAGGAAAGAGGTCACAGAGAAAGGCACAGGGCCAATGTTTGTGGCTCTCAAGAAGCAGGCAGAAAATATGGACGACCAACTGAAACCCATGTTCAACACTGCGTTTTATGTCGCCAAACAAAAGTTGCCTTTCCGTTCATTTGAGGGCCTCATCGAACTTCAAGAGAAGAATGGCATTAAAATGCCTACACAGTACCGGAACGATAAGGGGTGCAAGGCATTTGTGCAGGCCATTGCAGAAGTCGAGAAGGACAGAGTTTCTGAAGACCTCAAGGCTTCAAGATTCTTCGCTCTGATGGGAGATGGATCCACGGATATATCTGTGACAGAACAGGAGAATGTATATGTTAGGTAATTATTATTTTGAATTCTTTTGTAAGTCTTATTTAAGTTACATTTTATCTCCAAAAGGGCCTTTTGTTTATGAGTAATTAATTCACAATCATTTTATTGATGAATTTTATTAGTTTAAATTTTCAGTTAACTTAAAAAATTTTAACAGGTAAAGTATATACATAAATTGTTTAAAGCGAATGAAGGTGAAGTTGCTTTTTAGTGTTCTTAGTCTTAAAAAAAAAGGTGAAGGCAACACTGGTGTGGGAAGGTTTATATAAGATAATCATTTAAAAAAATGTTATTGCACTTTATTGATGTACTTTATTTATTTTCTATCTTCAGGTATGTCAAAGATGGACTTCCAGCGACAGAGTTCATTGACATCATGGCTGTAAAGTCAGCTGATGCTAATGGTGTTCTGGCAGCTCTCCTCGAGGCACTACATCATGTCGACCTAACAGATGGAGACATAAAGAAGAAAATAATAGGCTGCACATTTGATGGTGCCAGCGTTAACCAAGGTGCCAAGGGAGGAGTTATTGTGAAGTTGCGGGAATTGTTGGGGCATGTGCTCATTTCGATTTGGTGTGCTCCACATAAGCTGGAGCTGTCGCTCCTAGATGCCACCAAAGCCACTGACTTCATTGACATCGTAGAGAAAGGAGTGGACCCCATCTACAGATTCTACTATGGATCTGGTAAACGTAGGAGGGAGGTGAACGCCATATCAGCCGTTATAGACGAGGATCCTGTCTATTTCTCAGCACCCTGTGGCACTAGGTGGATGGCGTCAAGACTCCGGGCATACAAGGCTGTAATAAAAAATTACAACTCCGTCATCCTACACATGGAAGAGGCTTCAAACAGAAAAACAGACGAAGGAGCTAAGTGTGTGGGGTACTTGAAGGTACTGAAGTCTGCAAAGTTTGTTGATGGGCTCCACTTTATGGTAGATGTCTTGGAAGTGTTGGCCAACGTGAGTCTGGCATTCCAGAGTAATGATCTGTTCATTTATGATGTTGATGTAAAGTTGTGTGAGGATCAAGTTGGAAGGCCTTAAGCATAATAGAGGTGATGTCTACACTGCCTACATGGCAACCTGCAAGGATGGCAAGTTTGACAGTAAGAGCAATGGACACATCACTTCACTGAAAGGAACAGGTATTCCAGAAACAGTGAAGAATTCCTTCTTGGAGAATTGTGTGAAGTTCCTAGAGAAGAGATTTTCCTTCCTGAAGGATACCCCTTTCAGTGATTTCCATGTTCTTGACCCCAGGAACGTCCCAAGATCAGACGCACAACTAGCTACATATGGTGATGTTCAGGTTATGAACATGGTGACCCACTTCAAGTCCGTTCTCAGTGAGGAGGAGGTAATAATAATAATAATAATAATTTCAATTTATATAGCGCCTTTCACGAAACCCAAGGACGCTTTACAATGGGAAGTAACAAAACAAAAAGTAATAATAAAGAGACATAGGCTGAAGAAAACAAAAACAGGAACAGGTTGCTGAGTTCTGTATATTAGTTGAGGCCAAAGGCCTGAGTGAACAGATGGTAACCAACATCCCTAGACAGTGGCCAGCTCTCAAGGCCAGACTGAAGTACAGGCAGAGGCAGCCCGCCAAGGAGGTCATAAGTGACCTTCTCACTGAGAACCACCCAGATGTGAAGGACGTCCTGGTTCTGGTGTACATGATGGTCACCCTTTCTCCCTCCTCTGCTGCCGTGGAGCGTGGATTTTCCCTCATGAACCTCATAAAAACATCCAGAAAATCCCAGATGACCAATGAAACTCTGGGGTCACTCATGAGGGTCAGCCACATCACCACCACAGTGGCAGAGTTTGACCCAGAGCCAGCCATCCAGAAATGGAAAACATCTGCTAAGACCAAGAGGTATGTCAAAGCTGCCCCAAAGCCTGCTGCAGTGAACAGCAACTTACCTGTGCCTGTTGCCCCATAGCTCGGTGTGAGGAGAACCACTGGAGTGCTGCCCCACAGTTCGGGAGACAGCTGCAGTGAACAACCACCCTGAGCCTGAAGCCATACCTTTCTGCTAGCATGTCTACTAGTCCCACAGAGGAGAAAACATTATATTGTTAGTACTTAGTTGTTTTATCTTATTATTTTATATCTGTCATTCATTTGATGTGCCTTGATGGTAGAAGTTCAGAAACCAGACACTGTGAACAATATGAACAAATAAACAATAAAATGTTTCCTACAGTAACCTAGATTCTTGTGTGCTTTATGTTGATATGTAATCATATTTAAAATAGGTGCAGCAATGCATGCACAAAGTATAGATATGGACAAGTGAAAAATGTATTCGGACAAGCACATTTCCAAACTCACTTGTCCATGGACAAGTACTCTCTAAAAACTTTTTCTCACACTGTGAATATACCCCCCCCCCCCCCCCCCCTTATTTTCTTCAAGTAATAGTTTATTTTGTTAAATGTAAAAGAGGGGTGTTTAAAACTCATGTGACAAGCAAGACTGCTTAATTATTTCCAAACCAAATTCTAAAAACAGTACAAAACATAGGTTTAAGAAACGTTGTTCTGGAGTGACCTAAACTGTTAATTGATTGTCTCAATAATCTTCAGTACATTAACCGTTTGTAGAGGATAATCAATACTAGCTAGCTTGTGTTATAACAAGGTTTATAGAAACATACATATATTTTCAGTTCTTGAATCACTGTTGTCTAGTTTTCACCATTACCAAAATCAATAATTTTTTCCAATAACCTCTTCAGGATATGTGTATTAAAACATGCTAACATCTTAAATGTACGGCTATATAATCATAAGCTTGAACGTTTGGTGCACTAAATACACACAATCTTCTGTGATAAAGGCGCTCATACACATGATATAAGAAAGAAGCGTAGTGCTTGTTGTCCATGTGACTAATCCAACAATATGTCCTTTCTCTATTGGTCAGGTGACACGTTCAGTTTGCCACCATGTCGTCCAATAAGAAGGGCGGCGATGAGCGTTTCCTCCGGGTTCAGAAGGACCCCAGGTTTTGGGAGATGCCCGAGAGAGAACGCAAGATCAAGATCGACAAGCGCTTCCAGTCCATGTTTCACGACAAGCGCTTCACGGAGAAATACACGGTGAACAAGAGAGGCCGACCCATCAACCAAACCTCCACCGAGGACCTGAAGCGCTTCTACAACGTCTCCAGCTCAGAGGACGAAGACGACGATGAGGAGGGTGTGAAGAGCAAGAAGAAGAAAGAAGTGAAGGAGGAGCTGGTGAAGGTGGAGATAGAAGTGAAAGTGGAGAAAGAGGTGAAGGTGGAGAAAGAAGTGAAGGTGGAGATAGAAGTGAAGGAGGAGCTGGTGAAGGTGGAGATAGAAGTGAAGGTGAAGGTGGAGAAAGAAGTGAAGGAGAGCAAAGACGTTAAAGCTGAAGGACCGCCGCCTGAACGAGGGGTCAGAGTCATAGAAGAGGGTGAGTAGATGTCTCTGAGGCTCATATTCACTGATGCAGGCTGAGGAAACGAGCACAGATTCAACATTACAACTTAATTAGTTTAGTTCGTCAGTTAGCTGAGTTTCTTCCCGTTAACTGAGTATGACACATTAATAGGTTGTTACATTTGAACAAGCTCTGAGACACAGTTCCGTGACGAAAAAAACCTGTATCCCCGCTAACGGGGGCTGCAGGGTTTATCTGCTTAAACATGACAATAGCGCCAAAATAAACTACACATTATCATATTCATGCTATACATAACTAAGCACAAGAAGAGGCTGCGAAGCTAAAGTCAAGAAGAGCAACTTACTCGTTTGATGCGATGACAGAACTAACGTTCACAGGAAGTGAAGCTATGATGCGTTCAAACGCCTCTTGTAAAATACAGTCTTTCGCCCAAAACTTCCAATAACTGCTTCAAAAATCTGCCTTCATATAAACTCAAGGAACTATTGCATTTTCATTAATAAATTGCTTTGACATTTTATTTTTATTAACGTCAGTATTTCTTTTTGATTCGTTGTAAACTGCTCAGGGCTGGTAAAGGTCTATAGATTTGAATAGTAGTTTGAAAAAAAACAGTTTTAATAGCCGTTTTTGATTGGCTTTTTTTAATACTTGTGTCTGGCTGGCTGATGTGCTCGATTTGAAAATGATGCAGTATTTAAACAGGACTTGCATCTTCTGCCTCTTATTCTGCAAGAAGACAAGAGCGACAGAGAAAAAATGTATTCCTATGGTAAATGGCCGAATTTAGATTAATGCTACTTGTTATTCATTCATTGTGTGCTTGCTTTAGCGCTGCCTGTTAGAATATGATTTAATTTATTAAACTAATGGTTGAAAATGATCTTTTCAGATGAACTTGTGCGTTACACTGCAGCAGAGAAGACCTTCACTGTGAGAAAAGGTAGGCTGCTTTAATATTGTTTAAGTTAGAAGTAACACACTTAGCTATTCTATCTACCTCTGGAACTAGCTAAACTAATTATAAATATGTTTATTCTTCACTGTCGGCTCACTCATTACTCTGGATCAGCCAGCTGCATGAGATACTGACGCGCTGTCAGGAGAGAGGAAAACACAGGCTCCGTTTATTATCCAAAGTTACTGTACACTTTTGAATCATGTAGTTAATCTAGCATAATTAGATTGTTTAATATAGAGTCGTTATCAATTTCTTTTAAAACTCTATAAATACCATAGAAGACGTTTGACCTGCACTTTTTTCTCATTTTGTCGATGTTAACCGGCTACAAAACATTTCTAAGGGAAGCTCTGGTTTTGTGTGTACACTATTTAGTAACGGTTGTTCTGTGTTTGTAGGGCTCCCAGTGTACTTGCTCACAGCCTCCATATGCCAGGGTGTTGAAGAGCAGATACCACACCTGACTGCTGCATATGTCCACCCAGACACATTCCTCGCGCGGAGCCTGGAGCAGCACGCCTGGAAATTTGATCGGGTGACCGGGGAGGCGCTGGTGGTCGTGCACATCGGAACCGATGATGTGGCCTCCGGCCTGTCCCCAGCAGCCATCGTGGGACAAATGGAGGCCCTCATTGACCGGATCCAGCACGGCCATGCAGAGCCTCTCTATGTGGCCGTCTGCTCTATCCTCCCCCGGCTGGTGGACAACCAAAGGACGATGGGTACGGTGCGGGACACCAACCGCAGGTTCCACGAATTGTGTCGGAGGAAGAAGGACACAATTCACCTCCCTACCGGGAAACTGTTTCTCCATCACAGACAGATTATTCAAAATTATTTTACTGGGGATGGAGTCCACCTAAATGTGGAGGGGAAAAAAGTCCTCTTTAATTATTTAAAGACATTTCTTTGGCATTTTTGTAAGCATTCATAGAATGTTTACAAAAATGCCAAAGACATGTCTTTCTCACAGACAGACAGAGAGGGACAGAGACAGACAGACAGACAGACAGACAGACAGAGAGGGACAGACAGACAGACAGACAGAGAGGGACAGAGACAGACAGACAGACAGACAGAGAGGCAGACAGACAGACAGACAGACACTGCGTTACTGTTAATTATTTGATTTTTATAAATGTTAATAAAAATGTGTTGCAATACTAGTATTATATTGTGCTTTCTAATATATTAACTGGGTCCATTTGGAAGAGTTTTAGACATTAATTTGTTACACACACCTACACACACTGTACAACACACACCTATGCATGGTCCTTGTTGAAATAAATACATAATAATAATCATTATAAATAATAATAATATAGAGATAGGAAATTACTGACAGGGAACCCTCTGAATCAGACTACGAGAGGCTGACTGCATCCACTCAGTGTGTCCGATTCAGAAACGTGACTCTTTCACCCTTTACGTCACAAACAAAGATGGTGGATGAGATTAGATCTATAAAACACATGGAACGATAATCAATGGGCCACAATGAAGGAGAGACTATCTGCATCTTTTAAAACTTTACGCACAAACGTTTCACCTAAATAATGAAATGCCTCCAATGCAAATGTTAATACGGTTGTTTATTGCCGTTTCTGAAGTTTAAGAGGAAAAACAAAACAAAAAACACTATTGGACAGTAGGTGGTGGTTTGCACATTGAAGTTGTTTTGAACGAAGAAGAACAGGGAGAGAGAGGAGCTTACTTGTTCCTTACCTCTCTAGCAATAGAGAGGCGAAGTCCCTCCCCTTCCGGTGGGACTCAGACCTTATTTCGGAAAAAGTTTGTATTGATGGCAGAGATTATCAACTGTTCAGCGCAGACTACAAGCCGGAATGAAAGGATCAAAATAATTGTCAAATCAGCTGAAAAGTACCTTGATGTGAAAGGGATGCACTGGGAAAATGTGAAAGATATCCTAAATGATGACGTCCAATAACCTCAGACATGGACTGGATCATCCTGATGGTGTTAATTGTACTGCAGTGGAATGCTAGAAGTTTAATTGCAAATGGACAAGAGTTCAAAAAATATATTGACAACCTGGGAGAGAAACCTAATGCTCTTTGTATTCAGGAAACATGGCTGAAACCACAACTGGATTTTATTGTGAAGGGATATACTGCAGTTAGAAGAGATAGGGACTCTGGCAGAGGGGGAGGAGTTGCAACATTCATACAGAGTGGTATACATTATAAAGTTATGCATGTAAGTACAGATCATGAAGCAATAGTTATAAGGGTATGGAATGATAGAGGACCTATAGATATAGTAAATTATTATAATCCATGTGGGAAATTAGATCAAAGTATATTAGAGGATGCTTGGGGGTACACTGCAAGACAAAGTAATATGGTGTGGGGATTTTAATTCACATAACTCGCTCAACCCGGTATCACGGCAAGACGTGAACATGTGACGATTTACCATGCTGGGAGACGTGAAGATGTCACGATTTCGTCCCCTTCAAACGTGACAGCTACACGGTATTGTTAACCCATGATAACCAGTGGAGAAATAACCGGAAATACCAAGCAAATGCTACCCCGACGTAATGATTTATTTTTTAATAGTCACACTCGATTACGGCTATTTTCTTGTTGCCCCAGCTGGTCGACACCTCTTTTAGCAGAAACAAAGGCTACATTAATGTATTAAATCGATGTTAATCCGTGCGTGTGGATGTGGAATTAACGGACGTGACGTTTTGCGATTGAGTTGCCAAGCAACAGCTTCGGTTCATGTTCATTTACAAACTATTCAACTACAACCGTACAACCGTTATATTTAAAAACATGTTAGAAGGCCTCACGAAATACTTTAATGCACATTAAAATGTAAATGTGAAGGAATGTGTGTATAACAAAATACATCGGTCATTAAACGAAACCGGAAACAGACGTAGGCAAGATCCTCAGCTCGATGATTGGATGGTTATCCGCAATGCATGCTGGGATTTGGTGTTTATGTGATGTGAAATCTGAAAACGTTTTTTAAAAATACAATAATACTTTATTCCGAGTGTGCTTGCTTTTCTCTTTGAAAGTCATCACATAACGGCATTGTAATACACGGTTCGGCTGCATTAAATATTACATATCTGCCGTAATTCTCTATTTATAGAGCCCTGCTGAGAAGACTTCTAGACAAACAGGAGAACTGCCGCCAAAACTGAAGATGTGACGTGGGCTCTAACTCTAGGGCTCTGGGTGGCGGTATGCACCTTTTAAGTTGTTTGCAATCCGACAAATCCGAGAGAAGAAGAGGTAGAAGAAGAGGTGAGTGGATTAAACACCTGCAGAGGTTTCATTAAGTGTATTTACACCTGTTAGCTTAGCTTACAGTTAATCACGAATCAGAAGTTATCTTATTTAACACAACAGCTGTAATCTTAGAAGAAAGAAACTCACAAAAAAACTTGAAATGTGCGCCAACATCGGCTAACAGCTAAAGTCTAAAAGCTATCGGCTAACAGCTATTGACTAACAGCCAAAGTTATTATTTCAGTTCGGCTCTGGGTGAGTAACAGTTTATTTGTAATGCTCAGCTGACTTTATGTTAGTAATTTATTACACCAGTTGTCTTTAAGACAGTTTGAGTTGTTGGGTTGGTGCTCTTTACCATAGATATGGTTTTAAATATATGCTAACTTGCTTATTAGCATCGCCATTCACCGTGACGTTGCATTTTTCCCATTGAAATGAATGGGGTTCTTCAGTTAGCAGCTAACGCTAAGCGACGGTTTAGCTCATTAGATAAATAGATATACTTTATTTAACAGGGATGCAAACTTGTCACCTTTCGGCGAAATTCGCCGTTTTGAATCCAAAATAGGTCGTTTGTGTGATTCATGTAGATCTGCAATAAAAATATGTTTGGGGTATGGGGCGGTCTGGGACCCGGAGTAATCTGCGGCCGCGAGCTGTTATGTGCCAGCATGACACGCATGGTGTTCTTTTTTATATATTATAATGAAGCGCGAGTTGTGTGCTCGAGTCTTCCTGCCTGTCGGCTCTGCTCATGGATGTATAATAAGGCTGCTGCTCCGCGATGAGGGTTTAGCTTCAGCAGCTACATTACCTACGGGCAGGGCCGGACTGGGACAATAAGTCAGGCCGGGAATTATACACCCAGCCAGGCCACTACCAGTTTTATTTTGTGCCATTAGTGCTGCCCATAGTGATAGCCCTAAACTTTAAATCTACTACCCCAGAATAAACATATGGACATGGGTTACTAATTTTTAAAAAAAGTGCAAATCTATTTAGGAACTTATCCATGTGAACATATTTTAGGTTGAGGTGGACCTCAAATCCTCTAGGGGGGTCCGGGGGCATGCTCCCCCGGTAAGATTTTTTTTTTTTAAATGTTGGACTTAAATGCATCAATCTGGTGCACTTTGAGGGGGAAATAAAGAGACTACACCCATATGAAACAGAACTGTATACATTTAAATAATCATAAATTCATAAGAACATGGCCATAACCAATAACATACCATATCCAATATGAAAAAACATTGAAACTTGTTTATTTATTTGTTTTTGGTTCATTTATAGTTGTGAGCGTGTCTGGGCTCCTGAATCAGCCTCACCTGTCTCCCTCCTCTCCCCCTGCTCCTCTTTGAGGCAGCAGCAAAGACTAGTTTTAGCTCTCACCATGTTTTTAAAGTTTATATTGCCTTTTTTCACCTAGTTTTATTATTCATCCATATTTTACTAATCACTCCCCCTTCAAATGGAAATATATGTTTACATAAATGGTGACCAAACCGTTTGAGACCCACAGAGAACTTAGACTAAGTTAACTAAACACTTTACCTCACCTGAGGCTGAGCTGTAGTTATCAGTCTCTCAGTCTGACAGGAGAGGACTCTCCTCCACCTTGTTGACAGCTCATGATATCCGTTAGCGCAGCTAGCTAGCTAGCACCAGATGCTAACAACAACAATACACGTAACCGGGGAGCGCGCTTTCTCTCTCGCTCGCTCGTGACACACATACACACACCCTCCCGAGCTTGAATGACACACAGAGACCAATCGAGGGCTTTAGTGTACGATCTGTATGAAAGTGGCCATGTCGGCAGGCCACATCATGTAGACAGCCAGTCACCCTCTGTGAGGCAGAGTCAGACCCACATTTGCGCAGCGTTGTGTTCACAATACATACAAAAAATAATCCTCAGGCCAGCAGGCCACTTAACAGGCCAGGCCATCGGGAAACCTCCCGGTTCTCCCGATGGCCAGTCCGGGCCTGCCTACGGGTGCGTTCGTTAATATTAACTGTGTGGTCCGGAGTCACAGTGGCACAGACTGGACCGCTGGTGAACAGCTGTTAGAACGGGGCGTTCAGGTGTTCAGATCAGAGCTCCCTGTCGGAGCGGCAGAGCGTGATGTGCACTGACAAATGTTTCTGTCACAATATTATTTAAGGAATCGTTGAGCTATACATTGTCACTATCTGCTAACGTTAGCTTTAGCCTTCGTTTTCTAATAGTTTTTTTCATAGGCTATAAACGGAGGTGGTATAAGTATAGGTCTTGTACTTGAGTAAAAGTAGAAGCACTCAGATCTTGTACTTGAGTAAAAGTAGAAGTACTCAGGTTGGAGGAATACTATGTTACAGTAAAAGTACTGCATTCAAAATGTTCCTCAAGTAAAAGTAGAAAAGTATTCTCATCAAAATATAGTGAAAGTAGCGACAGTAAAAGTAGTCATTGTGCAGATTGGTCCATTTCAGAATAATATATATGATATGTTTTATAATGATTGATCATTAAAGTGTTATCAAAGCTGGTAAAGGTGCAGCTAGTTTGAATGACTTTGTATACTGCAGGGTAGCTTGTGGATTTACTCCAGGTGGAACTAAAGTCTGATTTAACACTTGATTAGATTTCACATCATTCATCCAGATCTGTAAAGTAACTAAAGGTATTAAATACATGTAGTGGAGTAGAAGTACACCATGTACCTCTGAACTGTAGTTGAGTAGAAGAACAAATTAGCAAAACATTGAAATACTTAAATAAAGTACAAGTATCTCAAATTTCTACCCAAGTATAGTACTTGTTGAGTTTATGAACTTAGTTACTTTACACCAGTGGCTATACAGATAGAAAAACTAAGCCTTGCACAGAGGCATGAAAATACATTTTCAAAATGCTCAACAGTGCTGCCAAAATTATAAACTGACTGCTACACAATTAAAATAAATGCTTTTATATATTTCTATTAGATGTGACTCTTTGGCGTTTCTGTTATTATTACCACTGCTGCTTTAGTTGTTCTGACTGCTAAAATCATCTGTTATTCCTCATTTTAAAGCCGATATTCCGTGGGGTCGGGGGGGCTCGGCTCCTTGTCACCTTTTTCATACCTGATGAGTTTGCATCCCTGACTTAAATAATGATTTATCTTAAACTTGGAAATGATTGTGTCACAGCAGAAGTGTTTTCAGGCATTAGACAAGTTAAACATATTTAAAAGATGCAATAAGATATAATAAAAATGAAGCATTAGCAGCAAGTTTACCCACAGGACACATATCACTAGAGCAGGGGTCGGCAACAGGCGGACCTAGACGCCGACCTACCCGGACCTATAATCGATACATTAATAGGGGATTTCAATTTTGACACAGTGTTTGACCAAACATTCCCTCTCAAGTCAGAACTGAGGTCACGAAAAATAAGCCCAATATGATCAGTCGACCAGGATTAAAACTAAAGCAGGGCAGGCTAACCAATGAGCACCTGCATGTGTATGAGAATGGCCCTGACATAATTTCAGCCCAGATTTACAAACTCCTGGCAGGACAAGCTCCAGCTCAATTCTCGCACTGAATAAAAAAAGGTAGTGGGGGACTGCAATATAAGAGGGAAAGAGAATCTTTAAAACTGTTCAATTGTTATGATGTGTAAAGACTGATATTGTTCTATAATCGGCTGAAACTGTTAAGTCATGACGTGAAACGGTTAACAAAGAAAAAGGGAAACTCAAGCTGCTGCTACACTTTATTTGACTTATCTAAAATTAAGCACTTTTAAGATGCACATATTTTCAAAAGCTATTTTATTTATTTTCTCTATTTTATTTTTAAATGCAGTCCGAGAGGAACATTACACATATCCACAGTATTTACTGTATATCTGTAGAGTTCAATGTTAATTTACAATAAATATTGTTATTTTTGAATTATACTTTCTTTATTTGATTGGCAGTCAGTTGCTGATTACATGCAGACGTTGATAAAGCTGCAGCTAATTCAATATATATCACACTAATTCATAAAGCAAGTTAGACATTTTGAAGTTCCGTACTTTGCACAGGGACATTTTCTCTAACTGGACCTCGTTGAATTGTAGTTACCCCTGCACTAGAGTATCTAAAGAATACACAATATGCAGAAAATACTGTATACATGGAGTACATTAAACAGTCTCACTAGCTAATGTTTGCTTTTCTGTGTTAACTCAGTAATAGTTAATGACACAGATAGCGTTATAACCGTGGTTCAAACAACCATTAATGTCACTTTCTATGTGGATAAAGTCATTTTAATGAAATAAAAGTGAATAAACTGAGCTGTAAATTAGAATGTAAGTTGCTACACAGAATATGAAGAATTATATCAAAAATATTTGTATTATATTAATAATGATTTAATAATAATAACTTTTTATCGTTAATAACTATCTGACCTTTCTATCATTTTCAGCAGCATGGAGGAGAACAAGGAGACCCCTGGAGCTCAGGTCAGTGTGCACTTCATCACAATATATTCCTAATTCCAGCGTTTCCGCCAGGCGGGCGTCTTGCCGTCATTTGACGCCCTTATTTAGCTCGGAACGCCCTGAACTCGAGCCGAGGGCGTCCAGAAGAGTTGTTATCGCTTGAAATTACGAAAAGGACAAGGACATCCCTCTGTTGGAGGGGCAAAGGAGTCTGGTGGGATTATTTTCACCGCCAGCAAAGTGTACTGCCGGCAAGCCTTGACGGGGGGGTGCTAGTGGAGCACGCGCGTGAACTGGAGAAACTGAGGCTCTGGTAAACTGTGGTAACATGAAGAGCCGTTTGGGAGCCGAAAGAGCCGGCTCTTCTTAGTGAGCCGAGCCAAATGATCCGACTCACTAAAAAGAGCCAGAATTCCCATCACTAATGCGTAAAGAGGTGGTATCTATAAGGGAGGCTCAATTCAAAATTCAAGTCCAGGGTTTCCCACACATAGACGTTACTTGGGCCGCCCAGGTTTAACGGCCACCAAAGTATATTTCGCGACCCATTCATTATTATTTTGTTTGTATACATCCACGAGCACGACCCCATCTGCAATTGATTTACTAGTGGACAATGATCCCTCACTTGCTGTACCTGTTCACTCTGCTATCGCGTGGAGGGTCTGCTAACAAGCGACCAACAGAAAGGTTAATGTTGTTGCACCTCACAAATGCCTAACACTGCTATCCCCAAATGAAGGGTCACAACCTGTGTTGAAATATACAATATGAATGCACAATATGGTTAGATATAGGTTAGAACGTTGTTGTATACGATAATACTTTAATTGTCAGATAAAGTCTGAAATGTGACTTGCGTCACAGCAGCTCCATGTGTAACATCAACATAGACAAATAAGACAAACACAATACATGAGCAACAAACATGTAACATAACAGCAGGATCAGTGAGAGCTGCTCAAATGCGGCTTTCACACCAGCGCTTTTCCCTTTCTAGCTCCGAGCTAGAGCTTTTCTGGTTCAGCTCCGGTTTCCCTTTTCTGCTCCCGCTCTGTTCACACCGCCCAGAGCCCGACTGGTGCTGCCGCTGCTGCGTCATGACGTCACCGTTTACATCGCTGATTTGCTCCCCAACGGCATTACGGCGCTCACAACAACAACAACGGGGAACTGCGTCAGGTCGATGATCGTGTTGCTTTTAATCACACAGCCAGAATAAATTGAATAACGACTTCTCCAACCTTATACTTTGCTCCAGAGTGCCGTGGTTCATTGTTTATTAATGTGTTTCTGCAGCATTTACCGACCGCTGCAGTGTTGGCTGCTCTTCCACGGGAGTTTATTCTCCTCCGTTAGCTCTCGGTTAGCTCACACTGCTGCGGCCGCTCTAAAGTATTCACTGTCCGACTCACACAAGCAGCTGATACATATCCCCAGTCCCCCTTAGCCTAAGTGAATGTGTGTCAGTCTGAATTGACGCTGTTTGGTATCACAACGCTGTTATGAAAGTTTCTCTGGTATGAAATGGGTGATGTTAGCATAGCAACCGAAGCTAAACTGACTACTTGCTATTGCTATCCTATTGTGGCATAAACCGTTTTCTACAGGCTCATTTTACCGGCGTATTTTTATTATGATTCTACTTGTGATAGTCGGACACGACAACCTGTGCAGCCCATGTATTGATTCCATCCGATAGCTGCTATAATACAAAACAACACGTCTGCCTCTCTCCACAATGATCAATAACAATGAACGGATGGTCAAAGTAAGGTACAAATAAACAGAATCACACGAAGCCTGGTTAGTGTTGCCTGACTTTATAAAGTGTGTTTATAAGCACTACTGCTTGTAGGCAGGCATGACAGTCGACCCATGTTCAGGGGAGGTGGGTTTAGTTTCCTGCACGCCTCGACGTAAGAGAGACGTAAGCGACGCCACCTCTTAGCTCCGAAGCTCTTGCCTCTAGACCGACAATTTTTTGGAGCTGGAAGTGAACCGGATTCCGGAGCTAAGAGCCGGCGCCGCTGCGGTGTGAACAGGAAAAACCGGCGCTTTTCAGGCTCCAGCTCCGAGCCGGCGCTGGAAAAGCGCTGGTGTGAAAGGGGCAAAAGAGCCTTCAGCGTGCATCTGATCTGGATTCAGCTCTGTGTTTACTGAGAAGATTGACTCTCTTTTTTCTGTTCTCAAGGTCATGGCCTTTCTCCATGGAGATCTTTTCTTGCCAGTCACTTCCTTTACCTTAGTTGGAGCAATGGCATCTATACATTTTTTTATTTTTGAATTAAAATGATCTACTAGCTCATTTACTGAGAGGTTAGCAGGGGCAAGTGTGGAAGAAACATTCGGAGTAAAAATGTCCTTAGTGTTTTCAGTTAAATATCGCTTTGTGGTTACCTCTTTTTGAACATTTGTGTGAACAGAAATAGAGCTCTCAAAGGAATGATCAGAGAGTGCAACATCAGTCACCACAACCTCAGAGATATTCAGATCCTTTGAGATCATTAAGTCCAGAGTGTGCCCCTTATTGTGCGTGGGCTCCGTCACATGCTGAGTCAGTCCATAGTTATCAAGAAACCAAAACAGTTCTTTAGCCCCTCTGTCCTGGGGGTTGTCAACATGGATGTTAAAATCACCAACAATGACTAGACGGTCAAAGTCAATACACACTATAGACAGCAGTTCAGTAAAGTCATCAATAAAAGCTAAAATAATCTAGTAAAGAGCACAGCTGAACTCCCGCAGCCCTGGGGGGCCCCTACATTGGTTGTGATGGCAGATTAAGGGTTTTGTTAACCTTCACAAGTTGCTCTCTACTAGTGAGGAAAGTGGATTTACTTCCATTTTTGACACCAAGATGTCTGCTTGTATTGTGTTGAATGCTGCTGAGAAGTCTAGGAAGAGGGCTCTTGCATAGGTGTGACGTTTATCTGAATGTTTAGTAATGATAGGAACCAGAGTAGCAACAGTACCACCCCCTTGCTTATAGGCAAATTGGTATGGATCAAGTATGTCTTGTCCGTCACAATAGGTTTAGCTGAAGAGGTCATTCCTGTCATGGTTCTCATAGTGTCCCACACTTTTTTGAGGTCTTTGGCTTTAAAAGTATTTCCCAAAAGCTCTGTGTGCCAGTTTTGATTCCCTCAATTTGACTTTCAGTTCTCTCTCTGTCTAAGTGCTCCATAGTCTTTGTTTTTGAAAGCTATTTTCCTGGTTTTTATAACTTTTTGTTAATGTCCTTAGTCACATATGATTTATTACTTGGATAGATTTGTATTTCTTTAGTGGGAACACAGAAGTTAATATAGTCTTTGGTAACGGTAGTTATTTCATCTAGTGAACCTGAAAAATGTCCCAATCTGTCCAATCAAAACAGGCTTTCAACTGTTCCCTACTTTCATTTGTCCATGTCCTTATTACTTTCTTTTCTGGTTGACTTCCCTTCAGTTTGGTCTTATACACTGGTATCATATTCACAACATTATGATCAGAGTTCAGTATTGGTGGTCTGTATGCAGACACATGGGCTCCTTTATCATTAACAAAGCATTTGTCCAGGATATTGTCTTTCCTGCTGTGATCCCTAACATACTGCTGGAACCCAGGTAACACAGTCTCCAGGCGACATTGCTTCATGTCCCCGAGCAATATTGCCGGTGCATCGGGGTGGCTGAGTTGCAGCTCGTGAACACAGTCAGCGATGGAGCCGGCTGCCAGTGACGCTCTAACGCTGGGAGTCACGTAAACAACAAACAGTAAAATACATCCAAATTCTCTAGGCCAGTAGTTCTCAACCTTTTTACACCAAGTACCACCTGAGAAAATAGTTGGTTCTCCAATACCACCATATGACCAATGTTAAAATACAGTCTATGCACAGTTCATGCAGGACTCGGAGGCACATGTATTCATAATAACATTATTTGTTGTCAGCTCCATGTACAAAGGGCAGTCAATTCAATCAATAGCTTTATTAGCATGACCATAGTTACAGACAGTATTGCCAAAGCTCTGTATAGTTGCAACATCTATACAAAAATACACACAAATAAACAGTTATAAACAAACTGCTAAGAACATGTTTTTTTTGTTTTTTACAAGGAATACAGATTCATTTAATTAATATAATACATTAATACAAAATAAAATATGATATATATATATATATATATATATTAGGGTCGGGACTTTAACGCGTTAATTAAGATTAATTAATTACACAAAAATTAACGCATTTTAATCACACTTATTTTTGCACCGCGGAACGTTTCTCACTGGATGAGTTTCAGGCGTACCGATTATACTGGAGCACCAACTAACGTTCATGACTTCAGACAACAACAAACCACAGTGAACAACAGTGGGAAATGTTGTTTTAAAAAACGGACGGATGGAAGCGTCGATAAGAGCACGGTTGTGTGCAAATTATGCAAAAAGGAATTCGCATATCACCGCAGCACATCAAGCCTCAAGTATCACCTCAATGCAAAACATATAGCAGCTAGCGTGGACGTTAGCCTCTTTTATCGCGTTCACACCAAAAAGAGCCGGTACTAAAATGAGTTCATGAGAACCTTTTTACCCCCACGAAAGTGCCTGCTAGAGAGCAGAGAGCTGCTAGAGAGCAGGGACTTTCGTACGGCTCTCTTGTGAGAAAAGAGCTATATTTCTGATTGGCTGGGCGGATTGCAAACCACGCCCTGTAAAACTCCCAAAAAGTTTTGTGAAGCCGCCATTTTATTATCCTCGCATTAGCATTATTAGCATTAGCCCAGCGCAGAAACGCAGAGAGACTAACTTATGGCAACACAAAATAAAACATGGGAGCGAGCGGTGGAGATGAGGAGGTGTCGGCGTTCTGGCGATTTACTCGGAAGGCTGCTGGGACTCCCAGCCGCTTCTACTGAAGCCAGTCCCCGGGGACTTCCGGCCGGGGACTTCGGGCGGCACCATACGCCGTGAAGTGGTTTGCGGCCTGCCAGTAAACCCAAAGCAGAAGAAGAATAAGTGACGTCAGCGGCTTCATTTGCCTAATCCTCCCCCAGGTTCAAAGAGTTCTCATGAACCTTTGTGGGAAAAGTACTGCGGTGTGAATGCGCCTAATGGTATACTAAAATCCATGTGAAAAAAATTGCTTCTCACTGTTCTCAGGTCAAATATTTATATGTGATTAAAAATGCGATTAATTTCGATTAATTAATTACAAAGCCTCTAATTAATTAGATTAATTTTTTTAATCGAGTCCCGGCCCTAATATATATATATATATTATATATATATATATTATATATATATATATATATATATATATATATATATATATATATATATATATATATATTATATTATATATATATAATATATATATATCTATATTATATTTATAATATATATATATAATATATATATTATATATATATATAATATATATATGATGTGAGAGCTGGTGGATCAGGTCAGTCCGATTCCCTCAAACTGTGGCAGGCAGAGACAAACTGTCCTGCAACAATGCAGCTCTCTTTATATTCCCCAGGAGTATTTTTCATTTTTAAATATTTGAGGATGCCTATGGTTGAGTTTTGGGAATAATTGTTTCCGTATAGGTTCAAAAGTTGGGCATTGTGTGAGGAAGTGCTGCTCTGTCTCCACAGCAGTTCCTCCTCACGGTTGGCATGATCGCTCCTCTTTTGGCAGCCATGGTTTTTTGTACTTGCCTGTGTCTATGGCCAGGCTGTGAGCACTCAGTCTGTTCTCTCTCTCTCTCTCTCTCTCTGTCTCTGTCTCTGTCTCTGTCTCTGTCTCTGTCTCTGTCTCTCTCTCTCTCTGTGTCTGTGTGTGTGCACCTGCATGTTTCTATGGCCAGGCTGTGAGCACTCACAGTATGCAAAGTAGTCTGGTGGGATTATTTTCGGAGTATTGAAGATCGTTTCCCCGACATCGGCGGTGACTGCCACAGGACAACACGGAATGTACGCGATGAGCGCGGGGGTGCTAGTGGAGCTCGCTCGTAAACTGAGGCTCCGTGATAAACTGTGATAAAATGACTCACTAAAAAGAGCCGGAATTCCCACCACTAACGTAAAGAGATAGTATCTATGAGGGATGGAGCCACCCTCAAAGTACACCCTGTAGCGAGTAAAACTCTTAACACAGAAAATACCTCCCCAAAACGCCTCGTTGGAGATACGTCATTGTCCATTGTTTACTTCCTGGGTACTGTGACGTAGGAATGGCCAGTAGCCGCGCCCAGAGCTATGACGCGATACGGTCATGCGTTACCCGGAACCAAATTGACCAATCCGTGGAGCCGTTATGTAGGGCTGTAGCGATACACTTATCTCACGATACGATACACGATATTCAGCTCACAATACGATATATATCACGATATTCAGCCAACGATACGATTCGATACGATTCGATACACTTATATCATTTTCTGAAAGATTTTAAAGGGACAGTGTGATTTTGGTGACATCTTGTGAGTGTTCCATTGACGTGGATTGAATTAATTCAACTGAAAACTGAAAGCATCAATTATACAATATATGGCTCTGACAGAGAGTCTACAGCTTGCAAATGCTGGACAAAATGAATCAAAAGATGTGGTGAGAATTTGTTTCATTTATTGAAACAGTGCAAACTGTAGCTTACAAGCCTTTGAAACGTAAGCCCATAAAGTGCAGTATCACAATGGACAATGGATAATTAAAAGGTGCAGCAGGTGGCGGAACACGGGGGATTTGAATGGGACTTCAAAATCAATGTTTTGATGGCATAAAGTACCTTAAACATACCGTCAGTTTAAATGCTGTTTTATACTGAAAAACCAGAAGTTCTTGTGCACAACCAGTTGTTAAGCTTTTATTCTGAAAATCCTTGATCTCCGGTTAGCATTTAGCATGTGGCTAATATACCATTTACTATAGAGGTGAATTTAGTAGTGATATGACACGGAGTGTTGCACACCGAAACCTACTGATTTCAACACTACAACTACAGACGTCGAGATATTATTATTGTTGAATATTAAATGAAGGTACAGTTTATTTGAATACGTTTGTTTACAGACGTGGGTAGCATGAGACAACATCCGGAACTACCGGAAATGATACCAGCCGTGAGGTATTTTTGGAGTATTGATTACAGCGTTTAAAATGTATTAAATGAAAAGTCATGAAAGAGATAAGCAGGAGAAAAGGCGTGTTTAGTTATATATTTAATGTACAATGTCTGAATCCTCTGTAATGCGCAACAACGAACATTCGAGACGTGGAGGACCGGCCCCCAGCAGCGCCAACCGGCCCACAGGGAGGAGCCAGCAGAGGATATTTAACAGCTGGAAAGGTGGAGCTGTTCTCTTCCCTTCGCTCACCCAGAACACAGCTGTTTTTCTGACTGAACCATCTTCTGCTTGTAACATTACCGCGCTTTTTATTGATTAAAGTATACATTTTAACCTTCTCAGAGACTCAATTAGTCTCCTTTTTAAAGCTTCTCTCCTGGACGCGAGAATAACAAACACAGTTATCAGACTTAATGTATCGATACCCGCGGCTGAAATATCGATACTTTCTCGGAAAACTAAATATCGATATATATCGCAGGATCGATTAAATTGCACAGCCCTACCGTTACGTTACGTCCTTGGAGCCGTTACGTGAAGCCCCCGCTGATTGGTCCAAATTTACCAATCCACGGACTTCCTCACACACACACACTCAGTGCAGGCAGCTCTGCTGATTTCTCCTCCCTGGCTGCAGGCTGATAACAGACAGTTGGGATCACGGCAAAATTCTCTCTGCAGACCCATTCTCACAGCGTTTATCAACCTTTTTCTTACTCAATATCAAGCCACACTTATTGTTTTTACTTCGGCTGTGACTTTGTGTGTGCTCAGGGTGAGTTTGGCTGTGTTTGGCTGTCGCTAAACCACACCTCCACGGAGCTCAGCGTGATTCACAACGTCCTGACCAATCAGAGCACACCGTGCTCACAGGGAGGGTGGGGGCTGGAGCTATTGGAGCTACAACGAGTCGTTAAAGGCAGAGTGAAATTCAGTGAACACACGTAGATGCTGTATGAGAAACCAATGTGAGTTTGGAAAATTGCACAATATATATCTATTCTAGTAGACCTCAACAATGGAATTATGATCAGTGGAAATGGCCATGACATGGGACCTCATGGAGAGTGGGGCTCTGAAAGTGTGTGTGTGTGTGTGTGGCTGTGTGTGGCTGTGTGTGGCTCTTTGCAGCTGGTGTTGCTCTTCTCAGATTCTGCTGAGTTACACGTTACTGCCTCCTGGTGCTGCAGAGATTTCATGAAGTGAAGGAGGTTTTCCTTCTATAAAACAGCTGTGGGCAGCAGATACTGTGAGAGTCACAGACATGAGTACATAGGTAAAGGCAGACTGGTTCACAGACTCTCCTGTTTTGCCGATCCGGTGCTTGAACAAATAACTCTACACCCCTACACAAGTCAAGTCGAGTCTTTTATCAATGTTAGTCAAGCAAGTCTCAAGTCAAAAAATATGCGACTCAAGTCATGTGACTCGAGTCCCCCACCTCTGGTATATACTGTGGTTAGCATGTTGCTGTATTACTGTATCAAATATAATGCTAATATAATAAACAGATAAGTAGTATTTTGTTAACTCAAGGTTTATATTAAGTGAGTTTTTATTGTGTTAACTTGTGTATTTATGCTTTTTAGATTGACTTTCTCTCTTTCTCTGTCCGTCTGTTCTAGAAACTGAAAAGAAGAGAGAGATGTCACAGCTGTCAGCAATGTGACAAATCCTTTACAACATCTGGAACTTTAAATCGCCACCTGCATATTCACACTGGAGAAAAACCGTACAGCTGTGAAGAGTGTGGGGAAACTTTCACTAGATCAGATGCTCTCAAAAGACATCACCTATTCATACAGGAGAAAAACCGTACTGCTGTGAAGAGTGTGGGACAACTTTCACTACATTAGGTGCTCTAGAATCACATCACCGTATTCACACAGGAGAAAAACCGTACAGCTGTGAAGAGTGTGGGAAAACTTTCACTAGATCAGATGCTCTCAAAAGACATCACCATATTCATACAGGAGAAAAACCGTACTGGTGTGAAGAGTGTGGGACAACTTTCACTACATCAGGTGATCTCAAAATACATCACCGTATTCATACAGGAGAAAAACCATACTGGTGTGAAGAGTGTGGGAAAACTTTCATTAAATCAGGTGATCTCAAAATACATCACTGTATTCATACAGGAGAAAAACCATACTGGTGTGAAGAGTGTGGGAAAACTTTCACTTCATCAGGTGCTCTCAAAAGACATCACAGTATTCATACAGGAGAAAAACCGTACTGGTGTGAAGAGTGTGGAAAAACGTTCACTAGATCAGATACTCTCAAATCACATCTTCGTGTTCACACAGGATTAAAACCATAGTGGTGGGAGTGTGGGAAAACTATGAGAGCCAAGCTAGCTGTTTCCTTCTCCTGATGTCCTGAGAGCTGTAGTTATATAGTCTCATTGAAATAAAGCTTATTTCATTCAAATGTGTCTTTTCTTCAGTGAGATATCTTTATGGATTTCCTTATGACTTGAGAGTCTGATTTTAAAATTCTGAGTCTGACTCAAGCAACTTAAAATGTTTGCTTTTGGGCAAAGTCATCTGAACATTGTGTACTGTGCAAGTAATCTGACACTTTACCTTTGTCCTTATATTTAGATAAACAAATGAATCCCTATTATTGCATTTAATAATTCATATTTCACGACTCACTGTTATTGTAGCACTGACCACGTTATTGTATAAAGTGCATTCAATTGAAAACACCATAGTGTTACAGTCAAATTATGTACAATTGTAAACACAATATGTACATAAAAGTATTCACATTTAATAAATAGATAATTGACGCCTACAATATCAAAGAAATTAGAATGTAACAATTGCACTGATGGCTCTGTTTTTTGTCACCAATATTATATTTTAGTTTGCACTGCCTCCACGGCTATGGTTATGGCATGATAAGAACTGCTCTGTATTCCTAAAGTTTGACCTTTCTGGCAAAATATTTAATTGATTCAGTATAAATGATGGCAACAGCATAAACTAAGGCAAACACAGGTAAAAAAGCTTGAGTGGATACAAATCAGATGCATGAAACACATTCACTTTTGTAGACCCCAGGATTTATTTGTCATCAGCAGGTATGAATCAATTGTTAGGGTATCAATGACTTCTTGTAAACTAACATTTGTTGTTATGCAAGTCAACAACAACAACAACGAGATCTCACTCCACTGCAGAAGAAGAACAGGAATGATCCAGCTATTGAACCCAGTTGGATTCTTTAGGACTTTTTCTGAGCAACCATTCACCTTCATTGATTCAGTATAAAGGATGGCAACAACATAAACACAGGTAAAAAAGCTCAAGTGGATACAAATCAGATGTACAGGGAGGCTGTGGCGCAGTGCGTTGGTGTTGGGATCGGGGGATCACAGGTTCAAACCCCACTGCAGTCAGCATGTCGTTGTGTCCCTGGGCAAGACACCTCACCCCAAATTGAGTATGTAAGTCGCTTTGGATAAAACCGTCTAACAAGTAACAAGTTCTCTGGTTCTGCAGTGGTTCCCTCCTGTCCTGAGTCACTACCCAGTCCCTTGTTTCTCTGTTTGACTGGTTTATATCCAGCTTCAGGATGCACCATGTTAGGATCCTTCATTACATTCAAATATATATAGTAGTTATTACAAAAACACATTGTTTCAAGAGAGTGTGTAACGTTTTCTATCACCAGTGAATTATCTGATCCAAAAGCAAAGCGTTTTTCAATGACGTTCACTTTGCCCTTTTCTATAGTGACAAGAGGCAGTTTACCATTATGCTGGTTAAACCAACTCCATTTTACATCTCCTTTCTTATGAGGACAGGGCAGTGTAGCATTCGTGCCCGGCAGCGCTGTTATTTGTTCAGGATCAGCTGAAAAGCAGAAAGTAGTTACACATTTATTGACCCAACAGCCTTGACAAGCTGGACAATTGATTTTCTCATGGTTTTCATTTATAGTTTTTCTATATTTAGAAAAAAAAACAGGCAAACCTAAGAAACAAGTTACATATTTGTCCGGGCTAGATTTTACCGAAAGAGCCTGTTAACTCAAATGTTTTTATTATTTTTATTTTTCATATTATGCTAATTTTCAGGTTCACATTTGTATTTTGTACGTCTACTGTAATGTGATGCTTTAATGTTCAAAAAGCTCTTTCCCAGAGAAAGTGCCTCTGGAGGGAACACAGGGATGTCAGCCTCTGCAGACCATTTACATGCACAAAAACCTGTATAACACACTACAGGAAAGGGAGAACCCAACAAATCAGAATAGAGCGCCTTTAAGCTATACTAAACAAAAGATTGTAAACTAAAACACTTTTTCAACATATAAAACACAGTAAAACTTGACATGTCTTTTGACTTGATTTAGATTATTAATGCCAATGTCAAATCATCCAAATTTATGAATATTTTAATAGAAACCTCTTAAAAATAGATCTTCTTGTATAGCTGATAGAGAAGCATGCAGCGAGCAGCAGGAAGTAGAGACAAAGCAGCATCTCTGCAGCTGGTGAACTCTGCTGACTTATTATTTTTAATCTAAGAGGAAGTTATGAGTAATATGGCTGGGGGTCGAAAAGATCTTGAGTGATTGGCTGTTTTCTACCGTGGGGAGTTTCTCTGCACAGTACAGGGAAAGGTTGAACTAATCAGATCTTAAAGATCCCATGTCATGGCCATTTCTACTGATCACATTTCATTGTTGAGGTCTACTAGAATAGATTTACATTGTTCAATGTTCCAAACTCACATTGGTTTCTCATACAGCATCTCTGTATAGTATGTGTATTCACTCTGTCCTAAACGGCTTGTTGGAGCTCCTGCCCCACCCCCCCTCCCTGTGAGCCCAGTGTGCTCTGATTGGTCGGCTCGTTGCGAGGCTCGTTGCTGCTCGCCGCTGCTGCGAGGAGCGGACAGGTTTCCGGGTCGGCGATACAGTGAGACACAGCGAAACTCATCCTGAGCACACACAAACACTCACAGCCGAAGTAAAAACAATAAGTGTTGCTTGATATTGAGTAAGAAAAAGGTTTTTAACGCTGTCGGAATGGGTCTGCGGAGAGCATTTCTCCGCGATCCCAACTCGTCTCTTACCAGCGTTCAGGTAGCTCTATGCAAGTCAATGGGACTCCCTGTTAGCCAAGGGATCCTGGTGTGTGAGGTGCTCCGCGGATTAGTCCATTTTGGCCAATCCGGTCATTTGTTGATGATTTGGGTGTTCACACGTCAGAGAACCCAGGAAGAAAACATTGGAAAATGAGAAATGTCCAACGAGGCGTTCTGAGGCAGCAGACAGGTCTGCGTTAGAATTGTACTCGCTAAAGGGTGTACTTTGAGGGTTTGTGACTTTGCAGACCGTTCACATGCATAAAAACCTTCATAACACAAAAGGGGATGGGTAATAACCAGAAAAGCATGACATGGGCCCTTTAAAACAACATTTTTTTCTGTCACTGTGAGACAGGACATCTGCTGCTGAAATATTTAATAAAGTGATTTGCACTATTTCTCTTTCACTCAATTTGACTGAAATTAGATCTGTTAGTCTAACCATTGAATATTATTATACTGTATACATGTTTTTTCAGTACAGCTTAACCATGTAGCACATTCCTTAGATACTCTATTGATACACTGTATCCTATTTTATTTCTACGGGTATACATACTGTATATTTCAACCATATTCGATGTAAATATTGCTATATTTTGTACTTTATTTATTTATTTACGTGTTTAGACTTTTATTTTATGTATGCACCAAAAACACAAAGATAAAAAGAACATTTGGTATCTTATTTGTATTCTTATCCTTGCGTGAACTCCCATCTGCTCTACCTTCCCCCACTCTTATTGATTGATTGATAAAGGTCTGATCTCATTACATCAGCTGGTATTTAAAACATCAACACGTCACTGCTTCTGGTTTTCTCAAAGTACATTTTCCTGCGAGAGGAAATGCTGTTCTTTATTCCAGACAATAGTACTAAAACACATCGCCTACCCCAGTTGATTAAATAAAATATATTATTTACACTCTGCAGTTGTTAATTAGCTCAGATGCTTCTAGGACTTGGTGGTGTTGGGCGGCTGGCCGATCTGCCACAGATCCGCAAACGACACGTTGGCCGAGCCTCGCTTCGCTGGTTTGGCCTGAAAAAGAGAAACAAACTAAATGTAAACAATTAAATCACTTTTCTTGACAACATATCTCCTCTGCTCATGCATCTGATGGATAAGACACAGCAGCGATTGTTTCTGTTAAAGGTGCGTACCTTTTCGGGTTATTTGGAATACACAGTATATATATATAACATATATATATATATATGAGTCAATACAAAAATTAAGGAATATCATAATCATGCATACACGGTTTGATAAAGACAGTTGAACTCTGGGAATTGTAGTACAAAAACACCACAACAGTCAAATTAGGGATAAAGTGATCACATGTTTCTGTCTGATAGCGATACTCTATGCCAGGGGTGTCAAACTCAAACACACAGTGGGCCAAATAAAAAAATCGGTACAAGTCGAGGGCCGGACTGGTTCAATGTTTATTGCAGAACGTATTGAAATGAACTTATTGCACATATTAAACCTGGAACTAACAAAGCTTAAATTATTGCCTATAAAAACAACATTAAACATTAAATAATCAGTTGCATTCGTTTCTTATGGCTCTATCTGCAGCTTTTCCAGAGTCATTTCTTATGATTACATTTTTCCACAGGCCAACAACAGCTTCAAAA